TGTTTAGTTACTGATTTACGTCCAATCAAAGTCGAAAAACAAGTTGTTAGCAAATCGTGTCCGAGAATTCGATCATTTACCTTAACGTGTTACAAGGTTGAATAAATACCTGGTTTTTTAGCTAATTCACCGGCATTTTTTAAATGCCAAATAACTCTGAGCAATAATAATCACATGCGATGTTGCAGTGATCAAAACAACTTGGCTGTTATTCCATCGCGTAGTACTGTACATGCTACCTGCATGTTGCGATGGCTAAGAAGATGGCGTGGTTTTCTACGATGTGGCACCACACGTGCATCACTGTACGGTAGAATTCGGCCGCTTGTCTTCACTGGGTGTTATTTGTAAGACCTCTCCCACAATCAATCGTGGAATCACATCGGTCGGAGTTGGGTTTGCCCAGAACTGGATGTCGAATATCACCATTCTGACGATGAACGATTCACGCTCTGTTTGGCTGAGCAGGCGCACTGATGAACCAGTGAATTTGGTCCCGAGAATAGCAGATATAACTTCGATTTGCACTTTTCAAATGTGCAAAAGCGAAGGAGTTGCATAAATGACCTCCCTATAATTACATTCTGTAACGAAACGTGATCCATACGGATTATCTAAAACACTGCGGTCGACATACGGGCCTGTTCCAAGTAGATATTTTTAGCAAAATAAAAAGTTGGTTCCAACTAGAATGTATGCCCCCCGATTCGCGGGGGGTGCGATTGGTTCTTATTCTTGAATGATTCCATAGCATCCAATGAGAGAATTTATAGTACATTTTGTTTCATCCAATCACATGAGTTAAAATTGTTTAGAAATTTTTGATTGGTAGGAATTGTCATGTTTGTTATAGAACTCAAGTGGTAAGGATTAATAGTTAACGTGGAATGGCGGGCTAGGAAGGGAGCTGCCTTAGTATGTTGGCAGTGATTGTCGGCTGTACGTGTAGTGTTTTGCCACTACGTATGGTGTATTTGGATCGTGACATACGTGATGTGCCTTGTCCAAGGGAATGGTATATGAGCAGGGACATTGTGCTATGCTTTGTCATGGAGGTCATGGGGCGCTGGTGACCTCGGTGGAATATTATCGCGTAGGGGCGTTGTGTGCTGTCGTGATTTACGTTTGTCTTGTGGTGTTGAGCTTCTGTGAACGTGTTCCGTGGTCTTAACCGTCCATGTTAAGGACGTTGCCAATCTGCGTGCAGTATGGTGCGTTGTCGTACTACATTGTGATTATCGTTCGTGTTGAAGGGTAGGCATACAGGTGTTGTCACATTGGAGTGGGACCTGCCATGATTTTCTCTATTGTCGTACAGTGAATGTTCTGTCGAACGTTGATGCCATTTAGTCCATGTATTGGATGGAATCGCCATCCGAGTACTCTGTATAGTGAGGCTCGTTTGATGTGGGGCGGTGTTAGAGAGCGGACATTGTCGTGGTCCAACATGCATTTACAGGAGACAGTATACTACTTCCGTGCAAGGGGTTCGTGTCATAAAAGGTTGATATACGATAACATGGATATATTATATTTTCAATGAAGTGTTAAAAACGTCTCAAACTCAATATTGCGATTTCTTTTTCTTCTTTGCAATATCCGTATCGGGTGATTGCTTTGCTTTGCGTCAACCCGAAGCTTGCTCTTCGATCTTGATGGCGCTCGCGTTGTGGGCTGCACTATGAGCATCACTGCCAATTGCAGTGCCATCTTCGTCATCAACGCTGGCCACGAATTCACGACCTTCGACCGAATCCAAACTGATGCAACTCCCAGAACCACCCGATTGCGGCACAGTTCGTTCGTCGAGTGAGCCTTGAGATTCGATGAGCTCCGTGAGCACCGTATCATTGTCCGATAAGTTGTAATCGGACGAATGTTGGTCTTCTTGGTGGGTTGACATTGGTGGAGCCATCGTAAGTGGTTTTAGTGCAAGTGGGAGAGTCGGCGGCAGTCTTGGGCGGGGTGGGGTCGTCCCGGTGGCATCCAGTGATTCAAAGATGCAACTCGCAACGCCATGAAATGTTGTGAGTTTGCTCACAGTGACCAACACGACCTCTCCCACAATCAATCGTGGAATCACATCGCTCGGAGTTGGGTTTGTCATTCTGACGATGAATCGATTCACGCTCTGTTTGGTTGAGCAGGCGTACTGATGAACCAGTGAATTGTGCAATTTTGGTCCCGAGAATAGCAGATATAACTTCGATTTGCACTTTTCAAATGTGCAAAAACGAGGGAGTTGCATAAATGACCTCCCTATAATTATATTCTGTAACGAAACGTGATCCGTACGGATTATCTAATACACTGGGGTCAACAACGAGGTAAATCAATTTTGATTGGCTCATGCTATTTCTGCAAACTACTTTGAACTTCCCCTAACAAACACCGAGGTTTGTGGTGTGAATAGCAGTGAAAAGCACAATAAAACACGTAAGCTTTTCGTGGGTTTAACTGAAAGAACTGAGGCATTTAATAGTAAAACGTCTCCTCCTACCTCCATCCGAAAAAGAATGTCCAACTTGAAGTTTATTCAAATCCGAAAAATAATGTCCTATTTGTTACTGGTACCAAATCCACACAAAAAGCAAGATATATAAACCGAAACTTAACTCTAAAGCTGCAGGATCTCCATCCCATCCAAAGTGAGGCCGTCTTCATCGTTTCCTTGACACCGAGCGCTTCCATGACATTGCACAACTCCATCATTTCCAGGCTCGCACTAACCGCAGCCTGTAGAGTACGCATCAGACTGTTGAAGTCAACGCTGCCCAGCTTGGCATATCCATCGGCCCAAACGTCACGGTCACACAACAGCACGTTGGGCAACTTCCCTTGAGCCATCAGCTTGGACTTGTGCATGTGCGGTATCTTGTAGTTGTTGTTGCCACAAACACGAATGATCTCCAGATAGCAGGACTGCAGCGTAGAGAAGTTACGGCCCAGTGCTCGGCTCAACCAAGTCCCACGCCTTCAAGGTAGCAGCGACAATGTCTTCAACCGTCTTTCAACGATGCTCTGCTTGCAGGGACTGCATTGCTCGGAAGAATTCAACGTCCAAAACATTCAGGTCGGGAGAGTTGGGCGGTTGACAGACGAGAGACATTGACCAGCCGTCTTGGCGGCACGCAGCTTCAACCACGGGGTCGGTAACCAGTACGTGTGGCTTCGCATTGTTCTGCAGGATCTTCACGGTTGTTGGCGCAGAGGGCCACTTGGCACGAATAGCAGGGATGACGTTGTTGACGAGTATGCACCGGTACACAACCCGTGTCACGGTGACAGGCTTCATCACAGGATGGCCTGCTGGACGGTTCCGACTCGTGCGCTTCGCGGGCTCAGACTTGGTTGCTAGGTCCCGATCTTGTCATCGAACCAGCACTGTCTTGTAGGATCCCATCGCGGGCGGGCCACGACAGACAAGAACATCACCTTCGGGATGAAATTTTCGACTTGCAGGAGAAGTGTGGTGACTTCTCGCCTGGGGCAAGGAAGTACGACCTATTCACCCAGGTCATGAAAAACCACTTTTCATCTACATGAACATAGTCCATGACGTCGTCCAAGCGAAGCTCACCATTGTCCTTGTGGACGAAGTCAAGAGCCCACTTCAATCGTGCGGCTTGGTTCGCGGGGGTCAGCAAGGGCTTCACATATCTAGAGTACTTGGCGAAGACACTCCGCTTGTAGTAGTCATACAACGTGGACGCAGGTACTCCCATTGCTTTCGAGATGGAATTGAGTGTAGTACGTCTTGCTTTTGGTACGTTTCGCAGCTGTTCAGCGAGGCTCTTATATTTGAGCTTCCGGCCAGAATTCTTCTTCTTCCTCGAAGAGACATCGGCACAGATCTTTTGCACTCCGGAGCAATCAACCGAAGCACGAGACCAAATGCGATCAAATGTTCTTGAATCACAGTTTAAGAGAGAAGCTATGCGCTTCACTATGCCGTATGGAAGCTTGCCATTTGGCAAACTGACCTTAAGGAGGTGTTGGCTGTCGCTGGGTATCGGTAAAGTTCTTCATCTTGGTTCCAGCCTTCATGACGTGGTTTGAGCACCAAATTTTCCCGCCGAGTTGGATTTGTTGTCCGTTATCCGATTTTGCTGGCATTACCCGGATTTTGTTGAAGTCCAGTCAACGTGCATGCGACACTATACTTGCTCTGGTTATGAAGCGCAGATTTGAGTTTTCAGCCAAGATTTTGACTAAAATTGCATGGTTTCTCAATAGTACTATTTTATTACGCTCGCTCTCCTGGTTCCATAGTTTGATTAGGATATTTTTAAAAAATTCCTGTGTAACTGTAAATTCACGACGTTGGACATTCTTTTTCGGATGGAGGTAGCATGTAACACCGGCTAACTGGCCCTCGTATCCGGAATTTGACGTTCTTGTATCAAGGTCTGGCTTCAATCAAGGGTACGTTAACAGCCAATAATTGCCCGAGAGGCCCGCACCAATCACAAGATCGTGTCAACGGTGAACAGTTTTCACATTTGACTCATTCGAGAGCATGGCACCCCCGCGCACGTACGTCGTGTCGTCTTGATGTATGGGGATCGAGAATGGATAGTCACTGTATGGATATTAGGAACAAGTACGAGAAAGTCGCTGCCAAGCAGACCAAAAAAGCGGCGCCGCAGAAGCGTGCTCTGCCCTCCGAGTCGTCGGAAGGCGAGGAGGACGATGAAGACGACGACGACGATGCCGCCGCCGCTGCGTTCGACGACAGCGACGACGAGTTGCAAGACGACAACTTTGACGATGATGTCGACGACGACGACGACGCTGAACCGTCTGCCGGCTTCTCGGATGCCAACCGCAAGTGGCTCAAACCCAAAACGGTTCGTCTACACTATCCCTCTCCATCCTTCTCAACAACTCACGACATGTGCGTGTAGAACGCCGGTTCCGATTCCGAAGGCAATGACGACGACGACGATAATGACGACGACGAGGAGGACGAGACCGCGTTTGAAAAGAAGGCCAAGAAGTCGGCGGCCAAGGCGCGGCGCGACGACGCGGACGCCGAGACGGAACTCCAGCTCAACTTGAAGAACCAATCGACGTTTGCATTGGACGACGTGGACGACGGCGAAGACGCGGGCGACGTGTACCAGCGCGTGAAGGACATCATCGAAGTGCTGGCGCAGTTCAAGGAGCGCCGCGAGCAGCACCGCAGCCGCAGCGAGTACATTGACCAGCTCACGACCGACATGGCGTCGTACTTTGGCTACAACCGCGAGCTCATGGTGCTGTTTCTGCAAATGTTTTCGCCCGCCGAGTGCCTCGAGTTTATCGAAGCCAACGAACAACCTCGGCCGCTTGTGATCCGAGCCAACACCCTCAAGACCCGCCGCCGCGACTTGGCACAAGCGCTTATCCAACGCGGAGTTAATCTGGACCCGCTCGCCAAATGGTCCAAGGTCGGGCTCAAGATCTACGACTCCCCCGTGCCCATCGGCGCCACCCCTGAGTACCTCGCCGGCCACTACATGCTCCAGTCGGCGAGTTCGTTTGGCCCGGTCTTGTCGCTGGCCCCCGAACCCAACGAGCGTATCCTCGACATGTGCGCCGCGCCAGGCGGTAAGACGACGTACGTGGCGCAGCTCATGCGAAACTCGGGGTCGCTGGTGGCCAACGACTTGAAAAAGCAACGGCTCAAGGCTACCGTAGCCAACTTGCATCGGTTGGGCGTGAAAAACTGCGCCGTGGCCAACTATGACGGCCGCAAACTGCCTGCGGTCTTTACCGGGTTTGACCGAGTCTTGCTCGATGCGCCATGCACGGGCATGGGGGTGATCGCCCGCGATCCGTCCATCAAGACCCAAAAGACAGAGAAGGACGTACACCGGCTAGCGCATCTGCAAAAGGAGCTTCTCTTGGCGGCAATCGATGCCGTCGATGCCAAGAGCGCTAGTGGCGGCGTTGTTGTCTACTCGACTTGCTCGGTCATGGTCGAAGAAAACGAAGCCGTCGTTGATTATGCCCTCCGCAAGCGAGCGGTTAAGCTCGTGGACGCCGGCTTGGAGCACGGCAAGCCCGGATTCACACGGTACCAGCAGCAGCGCTTCCACCCGAGCGTTGGGCTCACGCGCCGATTTTACCCCCACGTGCACAACATGGACGGGTTCTTTGTTGCCAAGTTTAAAAAGTACGCGAATGCATTGACCCATCGTGACACGGACGACAACATTGAAGACGATGGACTGTCCAAACGAGCTAAGCGAAAGCTCCAGGCGGCCAACCAACAGGCCTCCGACAATGTACAAGCCAATGTGGACGAAGACCTGAGCGCCGATTCCGAAGTCGAAGAAGAGGCTCAAGGCAGCAGCAGCGAAGAAGAAGCCGACGACGAAAACGAGGAAGAGGCGGTGGCACCGCCGGTTGTGGCCACCAAACCGGCTAGCAAGGGCAAGGCTACACCTACTGCTGCACCCAAGGCGCAAGAGGCCCAAGAGGCTCGTGCACCCAATAAGTTTGCGAACAAGAAGCCCCAGAAAGGTGGAAAACCGTTCAACAAATTCCAAGGTGGCAAATCTGGTGGGGGGATGACGGCCAAGTCGGGGGGAGGCCGACCAGGGGGTTTTACGGGCGGCCGCGCCACCACCGCGACGGGCGAACCCAAACCGCCGAAGCAAAAACGCTTTATGGACAACAAGATGGCACAGGTTCGGATGCAAAAACGACAAAAGAAGTAGCGACCATATATACAAACATATACTGTAGGAGTACGATATTGTGGAAATATATATGCAAGTCATATTTACGTCGAAACGACGACACGTCGACAGATAAAAACGTTGTAAATGCCGAATTTGTGAAAAACGCGCCAATAATTAATGACGAATAAAACTAAGCCAATCACTGATCCCTAAATTGGAAATACGCCAATCACAGAAGGACCCTCTGAATATGTATATTCGTAGCCATACGAAGGTTAAAATATTACTACGTAGTACGTCAAGAATTCGCACACCCCTTTATAGAGGTATAGCATAACAGCGTTATATCATGAGTGAGCTGTATACAGCTCAATTGTGCGAAATACATTGCATGTTGATAGTTGGTGGATTGCCCTGAAAATTGCCTACAATTTTGGGCGACACTTCAGGATGCAAAAATCATGCCTCAATCAGGAAGTACTTACTGCATGGCCAATCTCCGAAAAAAAAAGGTGTAACTTTACAGTACAGTAATGCAACAATTGGCATTTCTACGTTAGTTAGCATTATAATACGATACTACCTACGCTGTAACCCGCTCGGATGGGAAAAAAATGCATTTGGCATTTTACGTTAGAGTGGTCTCCGAATAATTTGCCATCCATTAAGCAATATATTTTAAGGATAGTATTGGAGATTCGGTATGAATTTCCGGACCCCGTTCAATCGAATCTCGCCGAGCGAATCGAGAACCAATCTCTCCCATTGGTCAATCCTCAATTACTTGTCGCTGATTAGCTACAATCCATTTTTCGAGTTTCTACTGGAAAGGCCGAAGTGGATAATGACCAATCAATGTCTCGGCTCGATTTGTGCTCGATTGAACGAACCATGCAAAATTGGGAAATTTGAAGAAAATCGATAATATAACACATATTGATACGATATTACCAGGAGGCATCGGGAAATGACAAACGTAGCCGTCCTCGGCGACGTAAGCGAGGATGTCTAACAGTTAGACGAAGGAGTCGATTTTTAATGCAAGGCGACTTTGTATTCGACTCCGCTGTTCAAATCGTATACGTAGTATGGACTTCAAATTTTGGCCGCCAGGTGAAAGCTAGATTATCCCACGTCAAACCCCAACCAGCACTAAATCACATCACACGCACCCCCACCCGTGCGAAGCCGGGTCACGTTCACTAGTTTTTAATATAAAATAGTACTACTTCGAAGTACGTAGTACTTCACAACCGGTACGCAGGAGTACGAAGTATGTCATAATTTAAAAAGATAACATCGAAATAGAGCGTCAAGTTAACATAAGTTAACATCAATTCAGTCATTGGTCAAGAGGTCTAATGTTTGTCATAATTTATGACAATGTTAACTAACCAGAAAGTCCATGACTTTGTCGTTGACGGTACGTCTGAGCGTGATACATTTGATAACGTTATGAAAACTGAAGACATGGTTGCGGGCTACACAACAAGATGTAGTGTGTGCGGCGATTGCACTTATTTAGCATGCGTGAAGTGACCTCAAACATGCCAAAAGACTGAAATATAGCTTACTTTGGGCGTGATTATATCCTGCAATAAAGATCGTAACACCGTCCATGACACTTCATTACGCAGTATCGATGCTGTTGAACACGCTACCATGTTCTGCGTTGATCGGCGATCTTGGAGCCACGAAGCTGCACATCAAAGACTACATTTTGGCATAAATTACAAATATAGCGTAAAGATGACAAGCAATTATTGTCATCTTGAGCTATAATTTATACATATATTGATATGTTATGTTATAATTTTCTAACATTTACAGTTAAATGTCATATTTTTAATAGTTATGCAACCATTTTGTCTGCTGTCCAGCAACTCAGCGCAATCGATTGAGGAAGTTGCCAATCCTTCAAAATGGCAATTAAATATAGTGCACCGCTGCTTCCTTCCTCAGGCTGAACACGATTTGATTCTAGCGTGTTATATGGTGATGTCCTGCCATATCGTTTGAGGATTGTAAAGTTGATCATTTCTCGCAGCCTCCGGTACGACTTACAGTACACACAACGACCTGATGCAGCGACAGACAAGTCACGTTTACAGTTAGTACATACACCAAAGCTCGATGTTCATTGGTCTGATTTTGCAATTTCCATTGACCCATCAACATCATGGCGCAGTCCCATTATGCAGCCGCCACCGCTGTCACGGCTAAGATCTCGGTCCATGTGCATCGCAGCTTGGAAGTCGCCAAGCAGTCGAAAGTCGTGGTCAAATTTCACTGTGACGAGGCCCCGCCGCCGCCGACTCGAGCCGGGGCGTCTCGCTCTGAAACCATCGAGTCGCTGGTTGATTCGTAGAAGGAGCACACCACCAAGTTCCAGGCGTCGGTTAAGTCACTCCTGGCCAACCAACTTAAATCGACGGCTGCGGACATGACCACGACATGGATCGACACTGCTGTCCATGTTCATACATCGACAACGCCCCCAACGACCTCGTCCAGAAGGCCGCGGCGTTGCCGGAAGTCGAATCCATTTACGAGCCCGTTGTTTCGCTGGCACTCACCAAAAACGATGACAAACCAGTCGAGGTGTCAATGAGCTCGACCAATGGGGGCTCGAGACGATCCAAGCGCCGGCGCTGTCGGTGTCTGATACGCCCACGAGTAGTTCAAGTCTAACTGGCCAAGAGAATACACGGTTGGCTCGACGGTCGAACTGGGAGAAATACTATGGAATCCGTAATGGTAGGTAGTACTTACTCCGAGTACTAACGTTATTAATATATTTCCCTACTTGAAGTACAAGTAGTATTTGACAACGATCCGCTACTACTGTAAGGGTAGGGCATCACGGTTGCACCGTTACTTCATGTTATAGTACGGATAATTTGGGGCTTATCCGGGCGGTTTTGTTAGAGGGATGTTTCAGCTGTTGGTACAATTCCCTCATTAAAACAGTTCCACTGTTGTTTTGACCCGAAATACTGTTTCAATGAGATGCATAAGGAGCTTTGTATGCTCAGACCACCTCACCTCTTACTTAACCCTGGAGATTTAGCCTCGTATGTACTCACCGGGGGTAGGACGGAGTCTCAGGTTACAGGGCTACTGGCGAAAAGGTGTATCCGGATATAGTAATAAAAAAGAAATCCCTCATTGAAACAGTATTTCGGGCCAAAACAACAGTGGAACTGTTTTAATGTGGGAATTATTCCAGTTATTGGGACAATGGGGACAAAAACATCCGGATGTATCCGGGTGCTTTTGTATCCGGGTGTTTTGTATCCGGGTGTTTTTGTGTCCGGGTGTTTTTGTCCCATTTCGCTCAGACGTCCCAATAACGATACCTGAAGAAAATTTGGGGACATCCCGCTAATTTGGGGACAAAACCTCCCGGATAATCCCCAAATTATCCGTACAGTAGCATGAAGTAACGGGTGCAACCGAAGTTTTGATTACATTGACAGTGAATTTGGATTATTACTAGTATTTGTTTACTGTTAAGTTGTTCCTTCGAGAGTGTCGATACTACGTAGAACCACATGTTGTGGAACCGCTTCGCCAATTGTAACGCGCCTGCTCGACCAGGGGCGGTGTGAACAGTGGCGGGGCAAGTATCCGGATATGGATAGTTTAAATTACCAAATGCATACAATAATCAAGTGTAATAATCCAATTATATAATTTTACAGTGGATTATATCATTTTACAGAGGAGTCCAAATCTATATGGCTGTCTAAACCTATATACGCTACACGGTAGAGCATCGGTTTCTTAACCCGTCGGTTATTTGAGCAAGAATTTATCCGACCCTCCCAGGGGAATCCGGATAACAAGGCCTGCGTACGAAGACAAGGACCGAACTTCGAAGAAGATTGGTCGAAGCACGAGGTATGAAGCGTTGAGCCAATTAAAACCGAAGATTACACACCGCCCCTGGTTAATTGATTAATTGAGTTTGGATTATTGTGCTTTTCACTGAACTTTGGACTTCGCAGTCGAAACTTCAAAGCGTATTTTCCATGTTTTCCCCGACTGATTTTACCCAATCCGAAGCGACAGGGCACGAGACTGGTAAAATCTCTGGAATGGAGTGATGTGATTGGCTTAATACATTCATAATCTCTTTGTTTAGGCTATTCGATTCGCCTCCACAGTCCAATTTAGTGTTGAATACACAATATCATTTTTTAAGACATTCCTCCGCGAGGGCCGACACTAGAACCACATGTTATCGAACCCCTTCGCCAATTGTAACGCGCCTGCTGACCAGGGCGGTGTGTAATCTTCGGTTTTAATTCCCTCAACGCTTCATACCTCGTGCTTCGACCGATCTTCTTCGAAGTTCGGTCCTTGTCTTCGTACGCAGGCCTTGTTATCCGGATTCCCCAGGGAGGGTCGGATAAGTTCTTGCGGAAATAACCGACGGGTTAAGAAACGGATGCTCTACCACTGAGCTATTTTCCACCCCCAATCGAAGTTTTGAGTTACTATTAATAGTAGTATAGAGTTGGAATATGGGGATGCTCTAAATAGGGTCTTAAGGGACCCTATTTTCCCTAAGGGTGACTTGGAATTCGCGTTGCAAATTCGGCTTGTTTACTGCTCGGGCGAGAGCTTGGGCGCGGTTGACTTGCCGGAGAGAAACGCGGACATCATCGAGTGTTTAACGGCGTAAATCATGATTAATAACATCAAACAGCAGTCGGACTTGCAAAGGAGTAACAAAGTCATTTTACTCCAGTGCTTTTAGCCAATCAAAGCAAGTTACATGAATTGGAATTATAATATTTCCCAAATACCCGACTTGGACGATCGTAACAAATTTCGGACATTGTTGGACGATCCTGGGAAATACCATATATGGGACAGCAGCATCTCCAGATGGACAGAATACAAACTTTGGCGGTGGTCATTTTGGCAGCGAAGAACTAGCGTTTAACAATGAGTATACCAAAATCGAACGAATGTACAATTTGGTGTTCAACGCAACCTTTTCTGGCACGAGGGCCTACAATCCACTGTAACGTTAGTGCGTTTGCCCAACTGGAAGAGATACTTTATCTATGGGCAGCTTATTTTATACTTAGGGAAATATTAAGTCCTTGTACCAACCACTACACCTTTTTTCGGTTAATTTCAGGACCTCACCATACTTTTTCGCGAAATAAACAAGCAATTCGTGGCGGTTCCACTTCGTTGTATATTCGATATATTTCGCCTGCAACCAAGAAGGTTGCAGTATATTTCAAGCGACGTTCCTTATATTTCACTGTATATGTGCTCAATTCAGCGAGTGCTCAATTCAGCGAGTGCTCAATATATTTCGAGGTGCAATCGATATATTTCAATAAAAATGTAATTCAATCTGACTTTCGACGTAAAATGCAATTTTTGGTCAATCAGGCTCCAACTTCCATGTCTTCCATGTTTTCCGCGGCCGTAGAAGTAAGTATTCGAGCCGCAACGAGCAACGGTGCAGGCGATTCACGTCTACATCTGCAAATGCATAAGTTACATTTTCATCGACGATCCATACCTGCAATGACTTCGTCGGCGATGTGCTCATACGAAACTCGTCACGAGTTTGTCCGTCAGGACGAGGTCCCATACACGCAGCAAGGCGCTCGCGCAGCAACGTCTTGCTGTGGCTCTTCATTGTGGACCAAAGATTCTCGATGGGGTCGGCAGCGTGGCTAGGACACGTCAACTAGGTACATAGGGTATGTATTGGAACGTACTGGTGTGGCAAACGCTGCGGGAAGGGCTTGTTCCATCGACAGTTGTTTTGAAGAATGAGCGAAACCCCGCGAGATCTTGGGTTGAAGTGATTCCTTTCTATTTTTTATTGAAATATATCGATTGCACCCCGAAATATATTGACCTTCTCGCTGAATTGAGCACATACTACGTAGTACACAGTGAAATATAAGGAACTTCGCTTGAAATATACTACAACCTTATTGGTTGCAGGCGAAATATAACGAATATACAACGAACGAAGTGGAACCGCCACGATTTGCTTGTTCATTTCGCGAAAAAGTATGGTGAAGTCCTGAAATTAACCGAAAAAAGGTGTACTTTCCTTATTTTCCTCGCTTCGAGAAAAAAGAAAAAAATGTCAGGTAGTTTTCTGACGGAATACTGTACTACGTAGTATCATTTGTGGCATCCAGACCGGAATGTGCAGTTTTGATTTACACTGCATTTGACTATCACATACTCCGAGTAATAAAACACTTAATTAAATAATTAAGTAATTAAATTACGTACTACTACTCCGACAGTGCTTGGGATTTCCTAGTACTGTCGAACACATGAAAATCACGACGTTCTAAACGTAGTAAATACTACCTAGTAGTATTAATATATGTAATCATATTGTTACCACGTCGAGGTTAACATGAATTGATGCCGCCGTCCATAGTGTTAGTATCGTGGTGCACTGCCAAGTTGGAACTGCTGGCTGGCAGCTGGGACATCATCCCCGTGTTGGCGCGCCCCAGCAGCTCCTTACGTTTGATCGCTAGTTTCTGCTTGCTCGCCGACTTGATAATGTCCCGCGTGGCCACGGCGGGCTCGGCCGGATCATCCAGGAGCATCGACGACGAGCCCCCCAGATCCCCCCCGCAGTCACGAGCCAGGCTCCCTTGTCCGAGGGGAGCCTGCATCATCGAGCTAGGGGTCGACGGGAGTGAAAACAGCATGTTGTTCTTGTCGTCTTGCATTGCCGTCAACGCTGTCGCAGTGTCGGCCAGCTACGCCATCCAAGCCCCGTGAGAACCTTTGTAATATTAATTTTCTTTCTAGTGGTTGGACATCCCCTTTGTCCTCCTCCTTACGTCTTTGTCCAAACGAGGAGACGACGTCGTCGAGTCGTTAGATCGGCGCTTGGTGTCCCGCTTCGTCCGTCGCTTGGCCGTGCCCCCTCCCCGAGGCGACGACGTAGCCGACGACAGCCCTGCGGACGACTCCCGACGACACTACAAGCCAATTATACCCACGAGTTTGTTCCAACGTTCTGCCAAAATGACACTCGCGTTGCTAGCGTATGTACGTACCGGCAACGCGTACAACGCGTCGGGGTCACCACGACCGTGTTCATTCTATAGTAAGAGGTACAATCGTCAGTGCAACTTTTTCACGAATCCATAGTAGCAAGACGGAAATTCTGTCGTTTTCGCTAAAGTTTGGACTTGAGAGAGCGGATTCGAGAATCGATGTGAGTCAGATTTGGAATACCTTCTATGGTATTTATTGCCACGTCGATTCGAAATTGGAGTGGGGTGCTCAATCAAATGAGCAGAATCACCAAATCGGCAGACAATCTATCAACCAATCAAAACCCAGAACTTGAATCAAGTAGCCAATCAAAACCACTAATCGTCCATATCAACACATCAAATTAGTGTGTGACTTCAATTAGTGTAACGTTTGACAATTTTCACATACAAAAATCAGTACAAAGAATCGATGGATAGGTTTGGTGAATCAGCACAAAAGTTCAAATTTTGGGTAAAAGGACAATATTGATCAGGTGAAGATGAACATTTGAATCGGCCAAACTAATCGGCCCAACTATACCAATCGATGATAGGTTGAAATTTCTCGTTAGCACACTTTGATTGGCTAGGATATTCTCAAATATATTTGTCAAATTCATTCGATTTCTACTGGGAAGTAGAAATTGGAACAGATAACAAAAAGATGGGATATAGTGCACGAAAACTCTATCAACAGGTATTTGATTGGGTTCTTACATTGTCTATGATCGCCACCATGCGTTCTTCGCACACTCGAATCAACTCTGCCATGGCGGTCGCCGACAGCATTTCAAAGTGCGCGAGCGCCACCGCGCGACTTTCCTATGGCATGCCCAGCCAATGTTCCCAACTGTTAGCCCATTCATTTTTCCCATTCGCCAAATCAAATGTTCTCCTCTGTACAAACGAAGTAGTCATCTACGACGAATGACCCCTCCTGACAATCATTCCGCTCGAAACACAACCCTACGCGTATGTACCTTGTCTTGGTACGGAGGCCATAGGTCCGCGGCAGGAATCAACGCGTGCTTGGGTTTGCGGACGTCGGTGATGCCCGCGAGTCGGGCGATGTTGGACACCCCCACCACCACCTCGTTGAGCGCATGGAGCTGCGTCGCGTACGCGCGTTGCGTCCGGCTCAGCGCGGCCTCGGCGTCCCGCGCGAGGTCCTCCAGCTGCCGCGGGTCGGTCGAGTCCTTGGGCGTGGTCTCGAGGCTGTTCATTTGCACCTCGAGCTCACTGTGGCTGAGCTTGATCTGCTTGAGCCGGGCCTCGTAAAGCGCCGCTTGCTCGTCTAACGACCGATTCAACGCGTCGCGGTTGTGAAACTTCTCGTGGATCGCCGCCATATTGGTCAAGCCCGTGGCGTGCACAATGCGTCGACACATGGACTGACACTGCTCCAACGCAGCTTTGGCCACTTGGCTCTTGTTGACCGCCTACGCGACAATGGATCGATCGTACAAGAGACGAAACATATCACAGTTGTTTTCAATCACACAAAGTCAACCCCCTGTCGCATGTTTGTCGTATCATATCGTTTACAGCTGTTAAATGAGATCGAATGCTATTTGGACAAAGCAACCTATGCCTTCACAAGTCCGCATTTGGTCGAAATTGCACATGCTACTACAATAGTATACAATGTATATATCGGCTAAAAGTACAACTACACGGAAAGTCGCACACATACATATGCAAATCCACATGGGATGTAGGGTCCTAGAGCTCCAGCTTACGTTGGTTTCGGCTGTCGCTTGTACGTGCATGATCTTTTCGAGCTCGATGGGCTCGTTCGTGTTGAGATCAAATGCGGTGGACTTGACTTTGTCGATGATGCCCTTTCTCACAACGTACAGCGCCTCGATGTTGGCCACGTCCTGCGCCATGCGCACCTTGGTGCTGTTCAACCGGTCCAAAACGGCGTCGTGGAGCCGCTTGTTGTCTTCGCACGCCGCCGCCAGCTGGGGGAACTCGACCGTCGCCAAGTGTTGCTGTTCAAACGCCAGCGCTTGGTTTTGTTTTTGCAAGTCCTACAGGTATACAGAAGTGTGTTTAGATCAGTACTAACACGTAAATAAATGTGCGCATATTGTCCAGAGGAAAACCCAGAGTTGTAGATATAGATTGCCCCCCTGACAATGCCTAGGGGGGGCGGCTGCGGGGGTGGGACTGTTGGGGGAGTTGGCTACTATTACTACTAATACTAATAATAATAATAATAATAGTAATACTAGTATAACGTTATTATTACTATTACTATTACTACGAAAGCTTACCCGAAGTTTGAGCGACAGCACCTTGAGCTCCTTTCTCACCTGCGCCAAGTGGTGTTTGTCAGATGCCGAGTAATCTTCGCACGCCCCGAGAAGTTTGATGTAGGTCTTCTCCTGCTTGGCCACCACTTTGAGCTATACCGTCCATAAAAAATTACAAATATTAATATTACAAATTTTACTAAACCAACAAACGATAATAAAATTAATATAACAACAGATACAGTACTAGTGTGACTAAATCAACAAACCATAAAAATATTACGAATATGACTAAATAAAGCTACTTCCGTACTTCCATGAGGGATTTCAGTGTTGCAGAACCCAAGCAGCTCCCCACCACCACATAATACATGAATATATATATTATATACTAGTATATATATATATATATTTCGAGGGAAAATGACACACAGGGGGAATATTTCATTTGGTTAGGTCCCGAGATTGTGTGCCCATACTTCAGGCATAATATATATATATATGTACTTCGAAGTATTATATATATCGCATATATCGAGAATACAAATCCATCTATTCGATATCGTTGGATATAGTCGCCATACCGTGGCGTCGACTTGGTCCATGCGCTTGGTCATTTCATGCAGGGCGTCTTCGGCTTCTTGAATGTACTGCAGCGACGACGTCTGCTTGGCTCTTCGTTCGCGGATCTTTTGCCTCAGTTTATCGAGGCGATTGCACTTGGTGTTAGCATCGCGTTTGAGAAAGTTGTGCGCTTGCTGCAGCTTGAACAGGATCTGCTGGTTGCACGACCTTTTCACGTCCGCTTCGGTCTTTGCGTATTCTTGCAAATGTGCCTACAATATGACGAGATTGCAGACAGTTGTTGTAAAGTTGACCACAGGAAGAGAGCAGTTCACCCTAACCAACCATATACTGGTTGGTGCACACGACTTGAAATCAATGCATATATATACGGGAATGGCATGTTTAAACCTTTTTGAAAGAATCAAAAGGATGGTATTCACTGGGCATGGTGAATCATCCCAATACGATACAAATGTCCAGACCCTGTCGAATTACGAATCGACGACGACACTAGTGGCCAATCCAATTTTGAGTGAATTTGATTGGGTCAAGTAGTATTTTCAACCAATCAGAACGACTCCAGCATGATTCAACAGTGATTCGACATACCACACGAAGTTTGCAAGTTTAAAGCGAATTCACAATAAGAACGTTGTTACAAATCATCCATGAACTCAATATGAAGGATGAAAACCAACACTACATACAGTATGCGACAATGTAGAGTGCAACATCCGAAGCACGAGTGTACGTACCGGCAACCCAAACCCTTCCGAGCACACGCTGTCGTTCATTGTATCGCGAACGGACACAGAGGTGCCGGCGGTGCGCTGGGCCAACAACTTGCCGATGCCCGAGTGGAGCATTGGGTCGTCCAATATGGCGTCACTGGTGTGTTTGAGTTGGGAGGGAAACGACGATGTCGGCGCGTTCTTGAACCCAATGTATTGCGTCTTTCGCCGCATCAACGTGTGCGCGGGGGAGTTGAGCCCAATGATATCCTACCCAAAATCCCCATTGTTTTTTGTATTCGAGGGGGATGTGTTGTTTACTATGATTGGACAGGTGGTTGTTTCATTATTTTTCATACACGTGAAACAATAAAAATATACCACCATATATATATATATATACTTTCTAAAAAATAAATATATTTTTTCTATATTTAAAAGGACCCCGTTACGTGCAACAGATTAAAAAAAATCAAGTCATGAGATGTTCCATGTCTATGCGTGGGGAACGGGGGTGGGTTGTACCAGGGTGTTGGGGGCATTGGCCGTGGCAATGGTTGGCAAGCTGGCATTCGCGTGCCCTTTGAGTTTATACGGGCTCAGCAGGGCGGCTTGGGTCTACCGAATAATATATATGCCATGAATCAGTGGGATAAGAGTGATATATGTATTCAAGCCTTTCTAGTACGCCGACGCAGAAACAAGAGGTACAAACGTAGGGTGTATGTATAATACATACCTTGCGCTGCTTTGGAAGGTTGGGTGTGGATTGAGAAGGGGATAATAACGTGGAGGCGTTGGTGGCGGCAGACATATTTTGCGACGACGACGACGATGGTAGAGTAGTGTTGGTCGTGGCAGAGGATGTGACGGGCATCGTCGTGTTGTTGTTGGCGGGGGAAGTCACTGAGTGGCTGTCTGAGTAAGTGTCTACTAGCCCCACGTCGTCGTCCTTGGTGTTTTCAGGCGAGATGGACACGACAAGACCGGTCATGTGTTTCGAGTCGCCGTCGTCTATGTCGTACCCCAGGGCCAGCCACGGAAACTAGTCACATTACGTTAAAGGCAAACGTTATTTTAGTGTGAAATAGCTATATAATGATGTACCTGTACCCATACCCAGCGTTGGTACAGCCAGTGCACGGCCAAATCGAACGACTGCTGGGCTACGACATGAGGCAACTACTTGATTGTTGTTTAATACAGACTAGTTAGTAGGCGAGCCGTAGATGGATAGAAAGTCGAGGTCGATGTACTGTACTTGGTGGATAAAATGAAACCCGTCGGCGTGCAGGTGCTTGGCGTCAAAGTGGGGGTGGTTGAACACTGGGAGCTCGGACTGGCTAAACACGGAGTACTCGAACACAAACTTGGTCATCTACACAACGCATAGACACAAAAGAAGTCACCACTCGAATAACTTTCCTCGACATGGTATATGAAATGACTATAGAAAAGCACAGTTCTTGGCTAGGGGGGGGGTAGGTATGTAGGTAGTACCGATTGCAAGAGGGGCAGTAACTGCTTAGTTGTAGGACGAGTCGAATGGTACCAGTCCTCAATGCTCTTGTTGTATTCGCGCACGAGGTCGAACGTGGTGATCGCGGGGGTGTTGGTCACATCCAGTTCGTCTGGGGGCTGGTTGAGTGGCGGGGGCGTCGCACTGCCACTCACGAATTCGCTATATAAACAATCGTATATGACGTGGCAAGCGCCACAGACAAGATTGAGTGAGTGGATCTACCCCTCCGTGAGCGTCTTCCAGTAGCAAAACAACTCCGTCTTGTAATTCGCCGTAAAGAACAACTGAAACATGGGCAAGTTCACCAGCACGTCTTTTAGAGCATGCCAGCGTTTGCAGCTCGCCAAGTGCCACGGCAATTCCTGGCCATCCATTCTTAGTCCTCATGTATCATTTCGTGACCATCATTCTTTGATCGGATATATCATGTCCTGAATGACCATCATTCTATACATATCATTTCGTGACCATCATTCTATACATATTGTTTCGTGACCATCATTCCCAGTCATGAGTCAATTCCCCGTTCACAACCATGAAACAGTGTGCCTTGTATACATATGTACCTCCACACGTCGGAACGTTGGCGGGTGGCCCACAAAGAACCGAACGAGCCAATGGTGGTAACACTCCTCCATCTTGGTCGATCCAATGTACCGCCACCAAATCTACGATAATTAACCAGTAAAGTGTGATTGTATACGTAAAAAAAAGCAAGTACGAGGTCTCTGAGGGTGTCGTAGCACAACGGCAGCAGCACAATATCTTGCAAAAACAAACATCCGAGCGCTTTGAGGGCCGACAGCATCGTCGTCCACGTCGCCTCTGGCAGCGTCGGCACTTTGGGCCGTGCTGGCTTGTAATCGTTCAAAATCGCGGCTAAATTCGTGCCGTCATCGTCGTCTGCTGGCACTTGCACTTCGGGGGCGTCCAGCGGTGCAATGTTGGCTTCATGAGCAGTCATAGCCTGCATCTATTATATCGCATACATCATGTATTCACATTAGTATTGTGCTTTTCAGTCAAATTTGCCCATTTTGGGGATTGATGAAATCGTTAACTAATCGAGAAAAGGAGTATGATTGGCTACACAGAATGAAGGTTGCAATATGATTGGCTCAAAGATTGATTGATGCATTATTGCAGTCTCAAAGATACCTCGTCAACTGAGTTTTATATGAAATTTCGAAGTTCCGGCGATTGTTCGGCGGTTGCTTCAACCAATCGCCGGCGGAAAGTTTGAGTAGAACACACAATACATGTCAACAAAGGCATATATATTTTTTTGTTTGGTCAAGGCAAATCCATATGTGGAACATGTAATCATCCACATCAATGTAGTAGAGTAGTTCATAGCTACACGTATATTCCTTGAAACCTACTTGTCAAGTTTGCAAATTTCGCATATACTACGTTGTATCCCATATTAGAATCCGTCAGTTTAGGGTGCGTGTGGTAACATTTCAAAATTGATATTCCATTTTCTCGCAAAATGGGATTAACCAAAATGCCATCTTCAAAATGGAGGTAAAAGGTCCGTTTTATAAGGTGGCGTTTTGGGCCTCTTCACTATCAACAAGTAAATCCCACGTGGAATTATTGGATTTGGGTTAAATCATCTTCAAGCAAGACATGTTTCAATTTTGATCAAATTTGTTGAATTCGGCCCCAAAATGGCGTTTTGGGCCTGAATATTGTAATATTTCCGGTTACCAGACGCACCCTTATATATATACATACATACATATACAACATTATATTGTTGTGTTTATTCTAAACTGGAGCGACATGGAGAATGAATCGACACAATCCAATGTATACACAAGAATCGGCAGAAGTATTTAGCCAATCAGGTTGCAGGAAACCATCACCAACGTCGAATTAGTGTGTGCATTAAGTTAGTGCTATTCCAAACACCACCGGACACGTTTTTACATACAAACTTCAGTACAAAGAATTGATCGATGGATTTGGCGAACCAGCACAAAAGTCCAAATTTTGAGTGAAAGGACAATACATATACACATATATATATATACTCATGTATATTTCTATTTCTGGATACAACGTAGTATATGCGAACTTGACAAGTAGATCAGTTTATATATATAAATACCGACGGATTCTATTGTGGGATACAACGTAGTATATATATATATATATATTCCCGGACGGATTCTACATACACAATGAGTATATGTTAAATTAACTTGGTCAATGAATATACATGCTAGTATGTATGTATACATATACAACCATGGATGAGTGCGGTAAATATCTAGTGGTGGTTCGATCTATCGTAGCTATGCCGTACCAGCGTTCGCAGTTCGTGCAGCAGGAGGCCATGCCGGGCGACGTACAACAAACACAGCGCCTTCCCCAATAGCCCCCCGAGGCCTTCGACTGGCTGCCCCCCCGTGACGTACACCGGGAACACAATGTTCCGATGTGTCTTGACTCGCTCCAAGTGGCGGAGGAAGGGCGCGGATTTTCGAGGGGGCGGCAGCTGGGCAGCTGCTGCGGGGGCGGCGGGGGCGGAGTGGTGATGGGCATGGTTGTCGTCATCACTTCCACTGCTGCAGCCGCTGCCATCGTCGACGATGCCACCCCCTCCGCCTTCCCCTCGCTCGCTCGGCTTCTCGGGGCCTTCCGTCGCGGTCAAGACGGACGTGCGCACTTGACGGGGGGCGTCCTCGGCGTCGCCACCACTTCCCCCAAACGACCCCCCGCCATTGGTATTGGTTGATTCCCCTTCAAATAATTCGCGAAATACAAGGCTCACATCGGCATTCGTTTCGTCGTGATACCGAGGCGACCCCATGCCGTCGTCCTACGTCATGTTGATGGATATCATCAAATGTGTATAATATATATATATATATTATGTTTGATGAGACGATACATTTAAATATTGCTGACAAAATATAATATATATGAAAGAGAAATTCCGGAAAAAAAAGGGTGGCATCGAACAAAGTGTACCGAGTCGTAGGCGTCGTCGTCTACAAGGGTAGTGCTGGGACGACGAGTGCTTTCTAATGTTGACGCGATAGACGCCTCAGACATGTGACGCGTGGGGCTCGGCTGGCCACTGGAGAGGGATTGCTGCTTGACTCGAGCCGACGTGAACGCCGCTGCGCCTTGTTGGCTATCAAACGACTGGCGCTGTTTCGATGACTGTGGCTACATCGTATATATTAATATTTTATTCCTTCGGATAGTTAGTAGTAGTAGACGTACCACCCACGCAAAGGTAGCATCGAGCGAATGTTCCTGCAAGAACAGCATGGCGTCCGACGTGGCTATTTGACTGGGTACATGTCCAGCTTCCATGCTGCGCAAGATCACTTCAAATAGCTCTGACATGGTCGACGCGCCCAGCCACTCTTTGAGCACCACGTGGCTAGTTTTTATATATAGATTTATATTGTCAACTCGATTCGAAACTGGAGCCCTCAGCAGAATCGAATGTCTTAAAAGAATGGATCAAAGAACCCTGCCTAAGCTAATCAAATCACGTTGTGGCGAATTTCTGCCAATCCATACGTTTCATTCGGCCCAGTCCCTCCGTATTGAGCAAAACCATATATATATACTAAATTGTGTATTGGCATAGTTTGCACAAGCTTAATTCGGATCAAATGGACTCGAATCCTATTTGGCGAAATGACCCACAAGTCCAAATTTGGGTGAAATGAACAATATATCGTTGTGAAAATTTCAAACCACAAGTGATGTTATATTGTCCATTCGATTATTCGACATTGGTCAATTGAATGAGCAGCGGCAGACAATCGATTCTACAGTGTATTAGTCAATGTTCACATACAAAAGTTCAGTACAACAATCGATCGAGGGGGATTTGGTGAATCACCATCACACAAATCCAAATTTTTTTGATGAAAGGACGATATCGCACACGTGTGACGTGGTCATACATGTTGTAGCCGCGCGTGGCCACCCATTCGAGCGCCTCCAGCATGGATTTCAAAAACATGGGATTCGTGGTGCGACTGACACTTGCCAACGCCTAACCCCACCCATGCCGACGTCATATACTAGTACCTTGTGATCGATCGATATATATATATATATTATTTTTATAGCTTATATACGACAAATATTACCTTTTGCTGGAGTTCAAACAACTGCAAAGTCGGTCGACCAGTTTGCCGCGATAGAAACTTGTGCACGACCATCTGCTTTTCGTCATCCGTGAACGGATTGATGTGCAGCGTGGTCCAATTGCGACGCACGGCTTCCACCTACACATATATATATTTGAGTATATATATTTATATATTCGAATATATATATATTTGAGTAGGTATATATTTTAATGCACAAAATCACATCCTAATACAGTATTCAATCAAAAGGCCATTTAACAGTAATCAAGAGAACGAAAAGAGTCATCTATTTCAAAATCCAAACAAATGTACTTTTTCTCATGTCTCCTGTTAAACAACCGATGGTATGCATACGTTATACCTTGATGCGTTCCATGGTGGACATGTCGACATCGACGGCATCTGTTCGTGACGTGGCAGCCACGCTCGTAGCCGCCAAGACCAACCGAACATTGGGGGGAAAAGCTATCCGAATGAAATACATCGTCGGGGGGGGGGAATTGAGTTGGTGGCACCCACAGGAAGGACGATATAGTATTAATATGTTGTCGTACACAGAGGTAGCCACTTGAGGATGCTGTCGCCGTCGCTGGTGCGGAGACGATGCACGCCGTCGACAATGAGAATGGTGCGGCCTTTGCGAGATGCGGCTTCGAGGTACCGGGGGAACTGCCAGCTCAGGCGCTCTTCAAAAGTCGGCACTTCTTTTGTCAGCTCAAAGTACTCGTTCATTTCCGTGAGGATGCGCTCGAGCAACTTGGACACGAACGCGCCTTGCCTCGTACATCCCACAGCGTGGTAAAAGATGAACTCTGGGAACCCGTTGTTCCAGTTTTGAAACTTTTTCTTGCGTCGATTGATCCAGTTGGCCTACAACGTGCAGAGACACGAATGTCATGGTGCGGACCAGCCTTGTTATGGAGAAGGCGACAACAGTCACGAGGAAGGGGGGAAGGGGGGGACAGCAGTTTAGGGGAAACGGGCGCACTATCACACAACACGTACGAGAAATGCGCTCTTGCCGCTGCCAGGCTCGCCAAACACAATCAACGGCCCTTTCGGCACGTGCATGCTGTCGACGTCGCAGAATTCGTCCAAGTCCCTGTCACATATAAAGGTATGTGTTTGGTCCCTTGTCCACATATTTACAATCACTTGTGTGATGGATCAAGTGTCTTGAAGTTTACACACCGCAGGAGTGAGGGTTTGTACACGTAGTCGTCGTGGTCGAGCCGGCTTTTGAGAAACGCATGGTGAAACTCGGATTCGAACTCGGAGATCGAGTCGATGTTGTCCACCATGGGCCGCTCGCTTCGTTTCTTCATGCGTCGATTCCACACTTGGTGGAGGCAGTTATACAATGTAACCGACAAAATGAGGCCTTTTGAAACGGTCAGTGCACGCATGTGACTGGCAAACGAGCAGTGTCGTGCCAACACTAATTGAAAGGATAATCACGGACTGCACACACCAGCGTCCACAACTACTACCACACACCACCAGTTGGCCCTTTGTATATATATATATATATATATGTATGTATATCGATGCCAAGATGTTGCTGTTGTCACGCTGGCGACGAAAGGAAGGGCCAACTAACTGTAAAGCACAAGATCTCAGTGGTACAATAAATATATATATTTGGAGCAGTATCGAACGGTAACACGCCTGGTTTTTTCGTGTTGTCATACCAACAAACTCTAACGATTTACCTGGGGATAGTATGAACACCTTTTCCAAGTCGGTACAGTTAATGTTGTATCTATCCCGTTCACATCGACATAAATGTATACAGTTCAGTTTGTTACTACTACGTAGTACTAGTATTAGTTAACAATTCCTCCATTCCTTGCAACTTAACTACTCGTTGGCGGATGACCCTTTATCTTTGGGGGTACCTATCGTCCGTATGTACTTCATGTTACAGTCAGTTCCCCATCCAAACCAAACCAACACCACTCTTGTTGCATATACTAGTAGTAGTACTAGTAGTATTTATTGTAGTACTAATCTAGGTCACACGCTATATTTCCACTAGGAATCTCGAAGGGCCACGGACGTGACCATGTCTTGAATCGTCGACACGGGCGGGCGGTACATGGGCGGCAGAAGTTTCCGCTGCAGTGCATTGAACGAGTATCGCTTGTGTCCGACGTTCTTATGCGCCACATCCAATCGCACGCCAAACTCGCGCATGAGGTTAGCCAGCACCAGCACATCCTTATCACTCTTGTCGTCGTCGTCGTTTTCTGTTTGCAGCATCTGGTCCAACGACGAGGCCCAAGCCGCCTGTTCCCAGGTCACACTCATAGCCGTTCGATCTTTGCCGCTTTTGCAGCACGTGACCCGCGCCCCGCCCAATGCCCGAACGACCCGGGCCGCCAAGTGCAATATGTGGGTGTTTTTACTGGCGCCGTTCTCGTGGGTCACGGCGGCCCGCAGCTGGTCCAGGTCAGTGTCCACAGAAATGACGTGGCTCGCCTTGGTAGCAGCTTGGTGGTACTCATGTAACGCAATCAAGTTGGTCGTGTTGATTTGAGATTGCGTCGACACTACGCCGCCGCCTACTGTGTACAAGAGTGGTGGTACGATATGAGAAATGAAATAGAATATAATTATTACTATTGTGGATTTGGTGCAAATATTTCCAGACCCCGTCCAATATCGCTCGTGGCGAATTTCAATTGGCTCAAATAGACAGGACAAGTCGTGCATTCAACCAATCAGAATTACTCCAGCGTGATCCCATCTCGATTCGACAAACCACGCGCATGTGTGGGGGGGGTACTTTATACCGAATTCATTCACACAATATTGTCCAAAACTCCTGTTCAATAGCGAGCTGTTGGCCGTCGTCGAATCCAGTATCCTGGCCAATCAAATTACACGTTGGAGATATTGGAACCAATCAACGATCATCAAAGTGGGTTGGCCCAACCAAAAAAGTACAGCTTTAGAAATTTGTATACAACACTACTTTCTATGTAGTGCATACATGGAAGAAGCTTCACATCGATTCTCGAATCAATTGATTGGACCAAATTTCAGCCAAAAGGACAAGTGAATATTTTTTCACATAGACTTCCCAATTAATTCTGCACAAAGTGCAGCCAACCAATCAGCGACAAGCAGCATTTTCAGATGGACGACCAATCGGAACGTTTTGTGATCGGTTTGTTGGGGCGACGTTATGATGGATTCGATGGATCATGGGGCCCGGAAACATTTATACCAAGTCAGTATTATATATATATATATATATATATATATAGGATTCTGAAAAGGAATAATATATATATAGGATTCTGAAAAGGAATAATATATATACATAGGATTCTGGAAAGGAAAAATATATATATATAGGATTCTGGAAAGGAATAATATATATAGGATTCTGGAAAGGAATAATATATATAGGATTCTGAAAAGGAATAATACATATGTATATGATTCTGAAAAGGAATAATACATATGTATAGGATCCTGAAAAGGAATAATATATATATAGGATTCTGGAAAGGAATAATATATATAGGATTCTGAAAAGGAATAATATATATGTATAGGATTCTGAAAAGGAATAATATCGATATATATATATATATATATATATACAGTGTATTATACATAATGAGTTGGAGGCATACCGCCAAGATGGGCCGACATGTTGGCGAGGCTTTGCATTTCGTTGATGCCTTGGGTAAACAATACACACACAATCGGAATCGGATCTCCTCCCCCCACATCCAGCCCGTCCACGGGCACTTGGACGATTTTCCCACAGACTGCCACGTCATCAGTATTAGATGGTACCAATTGAAACTGGAATTGCTGGCACGCCAAGATGCCAACTTGGGCGTCGTGGAGCATATGCAACTCTTTGCCCTGCGAACTCACCTACAACCAACCGTTCAAAAGTGAACAACCAAAGAATATATATTTTAACAAAACGAGTCATATTCAGTAAATTTAAAAAAGTAAATTTAAAAATAGACGTGGTTCGCTCGTCCAAATCAGAGTCATAAAATATTAGCTTGACAACTAGCTCCACACAGTTTTGCATTCATGTTTCAACCAAATGTTGTTGTTTTCGACATTAATATTTCATGCATACGGCAAAAACAAACATATTCACATATGTATATAAATGACCCAGCCGCCCCACCCCCCCACAATATGTATATATATTGAGGGGGGGTGATTTGAATATATTTATATATATTGAAATCACAACCTACGCTAGACACACAGCCATCAAACACACACATAATCACGTACCAAACTCTCCCATCCACACAAAAATCCCACACGTTGCCACAGCGCGAGCCGGTCCGCCCACACCACTGGCCCTTGCTGCATCGTCATGACAATTGCCGACTGGAACGCGGCAGTGAGCGCCGTTAAAGCCTGCGCCACCACCATAGTCTTGCGGAGTTGATGCGTTGCTTCGAGTTGGAGGGCTCGGGCCCACAGACTTGTGAGGGGGGAAGGCGCTGTCTGGTGGTGATTATCCCCAAGGGATGTGGCGGATTTGAAGGCCGATGGAACGGGGGGTAAGTTGCGCTTGGCGGACGAGTAGAGCGAGTTGAGGCGGGATGCCATCGCCCGCGGCGCGACGTCGGGGGGCAGTGACGTGGCAGGAGACGCTTCCACTGATTCATCGTACCCGTTGGACAAGCCCGAGACCCCAAAGGATGCCCGATCGGCGGCAGACATGGACGCATGAAGTGCCACACAGTCTTCGGCTAGGTCCGTGAGAAGGTCATTCAATTGGACCAAGTCCGTGTCTAGGCCTAGCGCGTGGGCTGCTGGTATACCGCATGACACTGTCGACAGGGTCGAACAAGTACAAGGGGAAGTAGACCAGTGGTGGAGCCAGCTCACGTGCAAATTTGTGGGTATGTGTTGAAGTGAGCTCGACTTTTTATCATGGCTTGATTTGAACCGGGTCGATTTGGCCTCCGTCACCCATTGCTGAGAGATCTACATTGAAAACATATAAGAGCCAATCCGAGGATCCACACACACACAATGATTTAGCCAATAGCGATTGGATATTCGAAAGTCGAGGCTTCGAGTACGACAGGGTGGGGATATATAGATAGTCCAGTCCTAAACAACAAACTACAGACGACGACCGAATTATCATGTAGCGCAAATTTCACGATATGATTGGATAGATAGCGTAGTTCGAAATTCGAAATATATTATAAAAATTCACCCATAGAATTCAAGTATTTCGTGATGTGCAGCTGATTGGCTGAAAAAAGTGTGTGACACTCAAAACTTCCATGAGCGTTAAATTCCCTCGTCGTCTGTATACCATATATATATATACAGAGTACAGTTGCCAGACCATCGTATTCTGGTGTAAATATATTATTTTCTAAACTGGAGCGACATACAACCAAATAATACATGTACACGAAAATCGCAAGTAAAAGTATGTAGCCAAGCAGACAGATTGCAGGAAACAACCATCACCTATACATCTACTTCGTGTGAGTTCTAAATAGTGTGATTTCAATCGCCGCAGGATACACCGTTTTACATACAAACTTCAGTACAAAGAAAACACAAATCGATCGATCCGTTTTGCGAGTCAGCACACAAGTCGACAATATTTTGAGTACAAGGACAACACACACACACACCAAACCCCAACAATTATTTTAGGGTGGGTCTGTATCACACCCCAATTATTGCCCAAATAATATTTCGAAAATATATTTGGTTCAATATATAATTCGAAGAATTTGGTTGTCATCTATTGTTAACTGTCTGAATCAGCCTGAATTCGAACGAAACTCAGTAGTTGCCAACTTTCAGAATAAAAAGAAGTCGCTTGAACCTCTTTTTTAATATTTGGCAAAGAAAAAACGCGATATTTGGCAAAATATTGAATTCTCGACATTTTAAATCCAGACAGATCATTTCTCAAAAACTTATATTATTCATTCTAGGAAAAGCAGCCATATCAGGAGCAATTTTTTGCCGATTTCTTAGAAATTGCAAAATATCCGAAGATGTTGGCTTGTTTTGACATCCAGACGCACCCTTAAAAGTAAAAGCCACCTCAAACGAGCGAAAATCACTCTGTCGCAGAATACATACCCAAATACAGTACTAGTACACCACCACGTACCGCGATAAGGTTGTCCAAAGTCGCCTTGTGCTCGATCAAGGCTGCGATATGCTTGTCTATAAATGTCGTGGACGGTACCAGCATCGGGAGCAACGCTAATGGACTCGAAGCCTGGAGCCACGGCAGCCTCTCGGCCATCACGACCGGCGGCGGCGGCGGCGGATTTGCATGTATGGGACTCGCTCGAGTCAATGCTAGATGGACGTCCACTTCGCCAACACAAGTGCCGCCATCGTCGCACCGACACAAACCGTCGGGGTCGTCCCCCCGTTGGTGGAGCCGCACCCAGTCTTGGAACAAGTAGTAGGTGGTACTAGTACTACTACCCCCCTCGACTACTACCTGGCGCAGCTGCGCTAACGGCAGCCTCGCCACGCCCAGCGACACATGAGATTTTCGACTGGATTTTGCACTCGTTCCTTTGGCTGGGTCGACTAACACGTGGCAGTCTAGAAACCTATATATATATATATTGTCAAGTCGATGAAATTGTGGAGTGGGGGGAGGCAGATAATCGATATACGACCAATCAAAACACGAATCAAGTAGCCAATCAAATCCATCGAAATCGAGTGTGACTTCAATTCGTGTGACGATCGTTCCATACAAAAAAAGGCAACAATCATACAAAGAAATCGATTGATCGATTGTGTCAGCATCAAAGTCCAAATTTAGTGTAACACAGCAATCCTATTCCATCGATCCATGGAGGTGGCAACTCTCCAATCAAAACTCCAATATATATATATATATATATTTGTCAAAAATTCATTGTTTTTTTCGTGTTCTTCTTACCCTTGCATCGAGTCATTCCTAGGTCGATAGAATTCAAACACTGAGTCGTCCACGATGCGGCTACGGAGTTTCACCGAGGGTAGATCTGGGCGCCACCGGGGCTCGGGGTTGTTGAGGATGGTGTTAGTTCGCCCGATGGTCGAGGGGTTCATCATGGGCGGGTCACACCACTGCAGTTCGCAATACGCGTGAATGTTTTCATTGGTACTATTCGTTCGGAGCTTGGAAATTGCTGATGATTTGACTGATTTGGCCAATGCAAACATGCTCGTGCGGAGCGTCGCGGTGACCGAGTCGGACGACGTTAATGGGGGCGGCGCATTGCCTAGGTGCAGCCCTCGTGCACGGTGCACGGCTACTTGCACCTATATATATATATATCGTGTGTATCTTTAAAACAGGGCAAGCAAAGAACGTGCAGCCACACTAATGTACAGGAAATAAGTAGTGGTAATCCGATTGCACGAAAGCATCGGCGCAAATAATAAATCAACAACGAACTATTCATGTGGAATTGAAAATTTATGATATGATGACGGGTATCACCGGTGGACACGGGATTTTGACATATATATATATATATATATATTCACAGGACAAACAATATATAAATCGATCGCGATGGAATGAAAACCAAATTAGCACCACAAAAATCCATTTCTTTTTTTGGCTGAGGGTGCGTGTGCTAACATTTCAAAAAAATAATATTCCATTTTCTGCCAAAATAGGATAAACGAAAAACGCCATTTTGTAATATGGCGTTTTGGACCACACGTCAAGGAGTAAATCCCACTTGATATTATTGGATATTCGGTTTAACACTATCCAAGCAAATTTGTCGAATTCGGCCTCAAAATGGCATTTTGGGCGTGAATATTTTAATATTTCAGGTTGCCAAAGATAATACAACAAGACAAGGACATATATGTATCGATGCCTATTTTGGGGGATGGATGAAATCGCCAACTAATTGAACAAAGGAGTATGATTGGCTATAAAGAATGATAGTTGCAATATGATTGGTTAAAAAGATTGATTGTAGTATTGCAGTCACACAAAGATACCTCTTCAACTTTGTTTTATATGAAATGTTGAAGGTCCGGCGGTTGGTAGGCGGTTCATTCAACCAACCGCCGGAGGACATTTGAAGTAGAACACATAATACCACATATTCGATAGGGATAGATACAAGAGTGAATGTTGTACCGCATCGCAGCCATGCGCCAAGCCGGATGCGACATCGTCAAACAAACATTCAGCGAGCGCGGCGCGAGCCCGCACAGCTTGCCACGCCATGATTTGATGCGTGATATCGTCCCTGGATTGGGCCAAGAGTTGCTGTGGCAGTGTCGCACAAAGCCACGATTCGGCCACGCGTTCGTCAAAAAACGTTGTCGCAGATTGGTGTTGCTGGGGCCATCGATACAGGGTGCGGTGGGTTTGTACGAACGGCGCCATGGTGGCTGCCGACACGACATGCGGCCACACTAGTTCCAACATGTTCGTGGGCTGGAGAGGCTCAGGTCGTACGGCGGAGTGATCGGCTTCATCGACGCTAGTGCCATCGGTGGCTGAGGACTGTCCGCCCTGGAGCTGCTGGATAAAGGGAAGGCTGAGCTGGCCAGATTGAGCGGCGGCGTCGAAAAGCAAACGGAGAGGTACCAACCCCGTGGTCGCCAGCTCCACGGTGGCCTGCTTGGCTCGAAAATCGACCTGGGTAGACAACAATTGGAACTCCACCGTGTCAGACGGCGACAGGTCGGCGGCAGGCAGTACAATGCCCACGACAAAGCGCGGGGACGATGACTTTTGTAGGGTTTCTGTGCGGAACGTGAGCGGCACATTCCCATCGGAGCCGCGGTGTGCAGTCACCTGGCAGTAGATTGAGCCATCCCATAGAGGGGACGAGGACGAGTCCTTGCGCATCATGGTCTTGGCCAGCGCATACCCTCGTTGCATCGTTTGATGGGTGAGGTTGACGATGCTAGAGTTGGCACCGTCGGGGACGTCCAAGGTCAAGTTGGTGCACGAGACAAAGAACGACAGATCCAAGGACTTTGTAGCAGCCACGGGGCATGAGATCGGTTCGTCCATGGGGACCTCGCTCGGAGAAGGAGAGCCGGCATCGATGGCGGCCGAGTCCAGGATGCAAGTCATGCAGAAGAAAACGTCCTTGCTCGGCAGGGAAGTACGTTATCAGACTAACACGGAAAAAGAGCCGGCCCAATACCATGTGTCCGCTGTTTAGTGACCCGAGACATAAGTACGTTAAACATACAAGGGTACGTGTTAAACAGGTTAAACAATGCTTGTAGCCTCGCAAGTACGACGTTGTATCAGGTGTAGACTGAAAGCCCGGGTCACTCGAAAACGTCTTCTTCCATGTTGATCGTATTACAGTAATATGCAACGCAATTGTTCGATGAACGACAAGGTGGCAGCGTAGTGCAGTCGTCGCTTCTAGTGACCCCCGCTGCTCCAGGGCTTGACTACTGCTTGGCCAATGCAGTCCATCAAGTCGTGTAGCTGAGTAGTGTCGTGGCTGAGGACAGCATCCACCCATGGTTGATCGAGGAGCCAACGACCCGTCGCCGTCGACTCGGAAGACACAGCGACCCAGAGCCCAATTCGTTGCTTTTGGCACCAAGGCACATGCGATGCGAGCATCGCTTCGTTGTACTCGACGAGCACGTGAATCGCAACGTAAATGCCGGCCACCGCCACCAGTTGCTGCAGAACTTGGGCAGATCCTCCGACAACTCCCAGTCGTGTGTGATGCGTTTGCCATGTTCGCACTGCATCAATGTTGTCCGGGGATTCCACCAGCAAAGCAGCTGGCAACAGGACGACACAGTCCTTGTCGGAAGGCGGTGGCATATTCGCAACCGATGCGAGTTCTACCATCGACTAGCATAGTCAAAGCCTGCCTTGCTCTGCGTGTCCAAGCGTGTATCATATACATGTGTACATACCCAGAGCTACCATAGCCGCTTGTGGCATAGCTTTGGTCAAGTCTGTGACCACATGGATCAACGTAGACGCAGCGCTCGGTGGAAGCCACGACGGCTGTACTTTCGTGGCAAGTCGAGGCCATTCTAAATACTCCATCAGTCAGGGCTACGATTCAGTTGATGCATGCGATCGTTTGCATCCCCCCAGCAACAAAGTCTGGCTTGAGTTTCTCTCAGTAGTATGAGTATTGGTACGTAAAAGACCAGTAGATGGCCGTTCAACCATGGTGTTATTGTCAAGATATTCGAAATTGGAGTGACAATCGAAAATCGACCAATCAAAACCCAGAACACGAATCAAGTAGCCAATCAAATCCATTCTTCGACCAATGCAACATCGAATTAGTGTGAGACTGGACGACCTGTACACATACAAAAGTCAGGACAAAGAATCGATCGATAGATTTGGCAAAGAATCCGCACAAAAGTCCAAATTTTGGGTATATGGACAATACGTAATTAAATAAGTTTGGTCATCACAAGTGTTTCAGACCATTCTCAGATATCGGGCAATCTACTATTAATATTGGTTTGTTACGCTTGTGTTTATTCAAAACTGGAGAATGAATCGACGACACAAGCAGCAGAATTCAGCCAATCAGGTTACAGGAAATCACCATCAACCTCGAATTAGTATGATACCTAAATTAGTGTGATTCCACTCACACAGGACACCTGTTTTTCCATACAAAAAACCCCAGTACAAACACAAAGAACCGATGGATAGATGTGGCGATGCAGCGCGCTCAAACAAACCTCCAACATTTGGGGAAATAAACCATACTAACGTTACTGTATATAAACGCAAATGTACATATTGTCTAATCGATTCGAAACTGGAGCCGTCAGTGCAGTCGAATGCCTTAAGAGAATGGATTAAAGAACGCCTAAGCCAATAAAACCACACCCTGTTGAATTTCTGCCAATCCAAACGCTTGATTCGGCCCACATATATACTCATCTTTGTATAGTGTGTGTACAAGCTTAATAATGAGATCAAATGGATTCTATTTAGTGAAACGACTCAAAAGTCCAAATTTGGGTGAAATGCACAATACGTACTGGAGATAAGGGTTGGCGAGTGTGGGTGGCACGCTAAGAGCCGAAAGTCGCAGCGGCGTTCCAGGTAGGTCAACTGATGGAGCCGATTCAAACTCACAACAAGGGGCCATCCATCCACACAGGCGTCCAACGTGCCTAGAATGCCGTCGCGCGCGCACGCCATGACCATCGTGGCCGCCAACTCGGCCAGGGTACGTGGCAGCACGAGAGACAAGGACGGGTCTATGTAGGCCATGGCGGCGCAAATCGCGTAGCCGCCCCAGTCTGAAATGGACGCCACGACCAAGTGATCGGACGGCGTGACTGCTGCGATGACGTCGCCGTGTGGAATGTGCTGTTTGGTCAATGTGGCCACGCCGCCTAAGCCTGTGAAAATTGATATGGAGCTGAGTCGGGGCAACTTCAATATGTACATATATCGGTCGTACGAACGTACCGAGCTCGTTGCCACCGTCACCAATGGCCAAGGTGCGAACCCCGAGTTGTTGGGCACGGTCGAAGAACGCGTCCAAGTGCGCCACGTCACGTGAAATGTCCCTCGCACGCATCGTGTAGTAGCGACCTGCGTACGTACGCGTACTTGAGTTCGTTTTCAAGGAACGAGGAGACGAATCGTACCGTCCGCTGCCTCGCCGGGTCGTTCGATGGCGATCCAGTACTGAATGAGCGCCGCCATGGCCTCGAGCTGCGGTGGCGCCACTGGACCTGGCGGAAACGTGTGCAATTGCAGATTTTTGTCGGCTTGACACGAGTAGTTGTTCCTCCAGTGGTCGATGCAAGCTTGGAACACACTGGCATTGACATCGTCTGTGAGGATATGCACCACGCAGCCCCGAGTGTGCAGCATGTGAACCAGAGCAAACGTGCCGGCAATGCCGTCGGTTTCAGTAGGCGGCGTCGCATGTTGGACACAGGGAAACCCTGTCAGAATGGCCACGTGAGAGCCCGGCGGGAGATGCAGGAGGCCGGTGGCAGCTGCTTCCAGAGCTACCACATCTCGATGCGGATTGAGAAGGTGGCGGATGCCGCGACCACCCACATCATCTTGGACTATGGCGAGTATGCGCTGCATGACATGGGTTGACAGATTTCGACGGATGACATTTTGTTTGAAAGGGGAAAGCAACCGGTATCCGGAAAAATTCACACTTTGGGGCGGATTTCAACAAATCTGATCAAAATTGAGGACCTGTCTGGTAACCGGAAATATTGCAATATTCAGGCCCAAAACGCCATTTTGGGGCCGAATTCAACAAATCTGATCAAAATGCTTGCAGAGTTTTACCCAAATCCAATAATTCCACGTGGGATTTACTTGTTGACAGTGAAGAGGCCCAAAACGCCACCTTATAAAACGGACCTTTTACCTCCATTTTGAAAAATGATATTTTAGTTGATCCCATTTTGCGAGAAAGTGGAAAATTGTTTTTGAAATGTCTTGCTTGAAGAGTTCAATAATTCCACGTGGGATTTACCGTACGCCATTCGTTGAAGAGGTCCAAAACGCCATATTGTAACGTTATGTCAACAAATAAGGTGATTCATGTAATTCCCGGCCAGCTTGGCCTACTTTCTGAGTGCCATAACTCGTCACCCATTCATCCAATGAGGCTGCGAAAACATGCATTTTGAAGATCGTGACGAGCTTTATAACTTTATGCAGGTCCTATCATTTGTATCGCATGGTCAATTTGCTCGTCGAATTTCTAAAATTGAATTTCTAAAATTGAAATTTCCCTGTGTGAATTTAATTCCCGGCCAGTAAGTCACTTGAATAATGTATTCCTGATTTGGGTGACAAAATCCTCAGAACCTCTTAATAATGATATGTATAAATTAATCAAGTAATTAAATTTAGAAGTGCAACTAATATAAAAACTGTATTACATGTTGAACAAACAGAATATTAAATCTTGCAAGTATGTGATACAAGAGTACGTAATTTTGTCCTATCATCGTCCATGGATGATTGTGATTGGCCATTTGCTGGCTGGGAATTACATGAATCACCTTACTGCAAGTACATCATGGATGTAAAGCTATCTTCATTGACGAGAGGCTACGAATACCGTGTCCAGATACCGACTTCGTATACCTACTGTATAACCTATAATAGTACTAGTAGTAACTACTATTAAAAACGTTAGTAGGACTGTTCCTCCGCCAGCCTGGAGGAACAGTACAGTAAGTAGTATGTATGGCAGTACTGTAACGGCCCTGTTGAATTATTTCAAGTATAACTTGATGTTTGTTTGGGCATAACCCATAATGGCCACAAAGGTCCGACCAATTAGAGCATTTCCACAGTAAATTGGCCAATCAGTAAATCTGTGTGCTGATTTACTGCAAATTTACTGAAATATTTTCGCCCCGCACCAGTATCCGATTCAGCACTTTGCTGACTAGCAAATATTCCAGAAGTCACACAGATTTGATGGACATGTAACGTTACTGGATTTGCTGGAGTCATATCCGGATAATACGGCCGGATAAAGGGACATGCTTGGGTGATCGCTCATTGACTGCTTTGAAGCTTCGAAGCTCGATCATGTCGTCGAGCAAAGGACGGAACTACCTTCCTGTGGAACAAGAAACGTTGTGCTGCGCAAGGCTGCAAGTGTCGCTTAACTCCATCGTCGGAAACGACCAGAAGTCATCTCTATTTTACGAGAAAGTAGCAGCCATTTACAACGACCAGCATAAATATGTCGGAAGTCCACTGCCTCAACTACAACACTATATTACGGTGTGACTATAGCCCATGTGCACCTGCAAGCTTGCAGTTTTACTGGCGTGATATCATCTAGAAACAAATTTCCCTTTTCTGCGGGGTGTACAAAAAGGCACTGCACAATCCCCCATCTGGAACCAACAACATCGACCACGTGAAGGTATAGTGATCAATGACAATTTGTATTTGACAAGTACATACATTTCAATAGAACGCAATTGAATTGTACAGGGTGCATTCAAGAAAGGTCACGTTCCATCTACAACACTATTGGCTCAATCTAAAGAACGTGCCAATCAAAGTTCACCAAGGCGTACATCGTGTCACTGAGCGAGTCCAACGGAGTCAGTTCTGAATGCTCTGTCGAAAACGTGATCAAGTCGCCCAATCTTGCGTCCATCCGACCATTGGGCATAAAAATGCGAAAGCAAAGAGTCAAGGTACTGTATGCATCGGAATAATATTGAATAGTATTTGATGATATATATTTTGAGTATTATATACAGTAGTAATTTATTCCATTGAAATAGAGGAAAGGGGGATCATCAAAGTCCAAACGGATATGGTGAAGGCAATTGTTGACTGTGAACGCAATGCCATTGTACCTGACAACGGTCAAATCAAAATGTTCACGGGGCGCGTTGCCCACGTTTTGGGGCAGTTCTTCCATGCCCAATGGCAGCAATCAATGCTGCCAAACATTCGAGGCCATCCAACACTCTTGGTGCGAGCAAGGAGAGCCCTCATGCCTGCGGTTGTTGGACTTTGCAGGCATATCGAGCCAAATTCAGCGTGGACGATGAGACAGAAACGCGCAATGTTTCACGCATGATTGATTCGCCGATGCGGTATCTAAATATATATAGTTCGTGAGTTGACACAACACATGTTTTGTATAGGATGGAAAGAATTTTATCGAAACTGAATGCTATGTAGTATTAGTTTATCTAACATCACAAATACATATACCGCTCGTCCAAATTGTCCATTGCGGTACCCGTTGCTAAGTGACGTATTCAAGCGGCTACGCGTTGATACGAAGACAGACCAAGTCTTACCTAGTACATAGTCAGATATTGTAAGAATAATGACCACATACCCATAGCGTCCTTGCGTTGTGTGAAGTACGAGTCATTCGCTTCAACTGTGTTCATAGCATGGAGGAACAAATCATCGGCGCCTGAATAGGTTGTGTGGATACGTGCAGTTGGGCGATAAAAAATCTTGCATGAGTAAGTTGGCATAGAGACTGCGTTGGCGGTCGATGTTCTGCGACTTTCATGGGCGTGAGCCTCCGTGTGTACGAGAAATCACATATTCGAAAACCACTTGGATGGCTGCGTCAATAGAGAGATTTCGCAAACGTGCCGTTGCCAGTGCCAGAGCCACAACCTTTGGGAATTGATAATTGTGCGGCAAACCTCTGAATCATAGTTTTTCTTGCCGCAGAAACGGCCAATTGTACGGAAAGTCGTGCTGTAGCCAGAAACAGCCAAAGTCAAATGGCCAACACGGACAAGCATCGCAACTGGACGCAAGAAGACGGCATTTATCGTAGACGGCAAGAAGGTACAAAATCGATTTCTGGCTCACGTCGACGAGCATCGCAAATTTCATGCAGTGTCAGCACGTCTTTCTGGTGTTGACGAAGAGGAGAAGGAGAAGCATATGCTTCTCGATGACATCGTTACCTTGCTGGACGACCTGAAGACCGATCAGCAAAAGCGCTACGAAAAAGAGAAAGTTGAACAAGGTGGGCTTATCGTACGCCAAATGGCCATGAAGACGATGAAGCGACGAAACGACGTTGATGGCGATGACGCTTAAAAGCGTCCTGCACTTGGGAACCGTCGCAATAGTCTGGCTGCTGCGATTATGGCTGAGAGCGAACGTGAATTGGTTACTCGTGACAAGGTCCTTGACTTCCAGCGCCAAAATTTGAGTCTGAACTTCAGCAGCGTGAGCTCGACCGTGAGGATCTAAAGGCCGAGCGTGAACACCAATTGGCATTGGCCAACATTGAGAGCGTGAAAATGACAAACATCATTAAGGCTCTCTTTGACAGTAAAAAGTAATCATGAATTTGGACATTTCAATTTGTTATATTTCTACTATCTGGCTGAATTATGATGTCAGGTATTCCTTCGGTGTTGGTGGGCACATGCCAAAGTAGGATAAAATGTGGTTTCCGCCGTAGTAGCAGCAATTACAATTGGTCATGAACATGGCCGCAAGTACCACACCTCCAACATTCAATAGCATAATCTTCTGCTGCATTTTGTAGGTAGTAAATCCCCAAAGAGTTTTCATCCGCCCAAAGTTCCACTCAACTCCTTGGCGGACTCGGCTCATGGCTGTGTTAAAACGTTGTTTTGATTCGTCCAAGTTTTCCCCTTGAAGCCAGACACAATCAACTTCCAAATGGCATAAGGAGGGTCCCCGTAAATGTAGTACCCACCGAAAATGTCCGAATTGGCCTCAAAGTACTGTTGCAGCTGACTGATGTGCAGCAACGTCACTTCATGTCGACTGCCCTCCAAGGGCCCAAAGAAGTCGATACAGAGACCATCAGGAGTTGTCAACCCTTGGAATTTTAGGCAAGAATGCGTTTGTGGACTGAGTAGGTCCGCTATTGCAAGTTCAATCCGCCAGTGCCATTGGCAGAGACAGTAATGCGACAAGTTTCAATCTTGGTTCCATCGGGAAATGCCCAGACATTTGAAAGTGGTGACACTTTTGTATGGATGGCGCTGGCATACTGTGCGACTCGGGCACGTATAAACTTGTTGCAGATATGATCTCTCCAGGAGTTGAACACGAACGCCACCATGTGATTGAATATACGGCAAATTTGTTGGCGGGACCGACCTAATGTTGAGAGCATGTCATAGAAGGTAATAGCGGAGGTGCTTTAGCAGAATGGTCATGGCTTCCACACCAGTAACACGTCACGTGATGGTGCAATCACAACATTTGGTACCCCAAGCAAGGACGTGAGCTGTAGAACTCCGGCGACGTCGAAACGAAACGAAAGCACAGCATCAGCATCACGCATATTGATGTCGAAACTGACGGCTGGGATGAATGGTCGTTCCACAGGAATGCCAAGGCCAAACTCCAGAAGAATTGTTGTTATAGCAGGACTTAGCTTCTTCCGCTTTGCCCATTTGTAAACCCGGAGAGCAAGGGTGGACTCTTCTGTACTCATATCAGAAACAATGGAAGAGTAAAGATTGACTGCTTCAACGTACGATCTCAAAATAGCTGCAGCAATGGCAGCCATTTTGCGAAATGACCAAAACAGCATTCCCGTTGCCGTTGCCGGATCGGACTCTGGTTCTATGGCACTGACTACGGCTCGTTTGCGAAATATCTCTAATGATTTTGCTGTTGCTGCCGCTACCACAGTCACTGTCGCTGTCCATCTGTTGATGCTGAATAGAGTGGACTTTCGCGGTGCGAAACAATGATTATTCATAAATACTGGCGAATAAAATGCTGGAGAGCATATCCAAATATCCATGAATAACCAACATGACTCCGACGCCACCGGCATCTGCAGCGTCAAAGCAGACGATCGAAGAGTCGTTCCGCGGTGCATCGACGAGGCCAGCCTATGACACGTACCGGAAACAGTTTGAGTCCTTTCTCCAACCTCACAAAGGAGGCATTGCACTTGAGACCGCCAGTACAGACGACTGTACCGACTTCTTCCACCACTTATACACGAACGGTAAAAAGGCAAGGACGATCGACGTTGCCAAATCCGCATTGGCCGCTCATTTCAACAACACACGCATCAACCCCAACCCGGCGCAAGACGCGAATGCCCGTCGGTACCTCGTTGGCCTACAAAAGTTCAACAAGAAGAAAAACGTCGACGAAGAAAAACAGGCCCACCCACTGACGGTTCAAGAGCTGTCTACTCTCATGAACGGACTCGCCGGGATGCACCCTTTTGTTGGTTCATTGCTCCGACTGTTGCTTGCCGTTGGTTTCCCGGGCTGCTTCCGAATCAGCGAGGTTCTCAACCTCCGCTACAACGACGTTCAACTTGTGTCTGAAGGCAGCGGCCGGTACCTGTCTGTGCGAATCCGGTGGCACAAGAAGGCAAATGTGGAAGAAGACTGAAAAATCTACCATCTCGTCGACGAGACAACGTATCCATGCCTGCGCGTGTGCACATTTCATGAGGAGTACCTGTCAACACTGCGTGCTTCCGGTGCCAATCTGTCCAGCACTACCTTCGTGTTTCCCAACTTCGTCTTTCAGCATGGCGATGTCCCTCATGTGGACTGGCAGCGCCCGCTGGAGCAGAAGGTCTTGCGAAAGGTGCTCAGCGACGTTGTCGAAATGACACCGAACCTACCGATTGGAATATCACTGCACAGTTTGCGTCGCGGTGGTGTCTTTTACCGCGTGTTCGAGTCCACTGAGCGTCGATTCAAATTCCGCGAGTTGATGGCCTGGTGCAGATGGTAGGCCGCGAAGGCGTGCTGCGAATACCTTGTGACGCAAAGAATCAGCAGTGAAATTGACCCTCGCAATTTGATTCGTACGGGGTTGTTGGGTGGTGGCGGCAGCGGCAGATTGGCCTTCTCCCTTGAAGAACTTGGCAAAGCCGTGGCCAAGTGTCTACAAAGCGATGAAGGTAAGCAACAACCAGTGCCCAAGACGACAGAGCAGTTGTGTTTGGATGGGTTCATTGCTCAAAAATCAATTCCTACCGCGCGATCGGGTCGGCAAGCGTGGCAACACTGGCTTTCGTGGCCGACCAGCAGCAGGGTGTTGCTTTGAAGGACTACAACAGCGACATACTCCGACTCCATCGGAAGAAGTACTCAAAGTGAGCGACATTGGGATTGGCATCGACTAGGTACCAGTCGTTTGAGCAGTTCAAATTGGCGTACTCAGGCTTCACAAGCTCGTATGCTCGTCTGTTGAAGGAGGTACGTCGTAGGAAGCAGCTAAATGCGTTGTAAGAACATTTGAGTTTGTGTTTTGGAGCGAAGCGACAAGCCCCACAGGGCCAAAACATTTCCTTTACAATATGTTAACGCTTGTTTTTGAGAGAACTATTGCGAATTGGGGTGTTCTATGTAGTGGAGCGTGTTCACGGTGACGTTAGCGGCATTTTGGTCCAGGTTTGAGGTCCTAGATTGTTCTGGTGTGTGTTTTGTGCACTGACGAAGTTGTCGATGAATTTGTTTTGAACCTTGTTTGAAACGAACATTCCTTCGACCAATCAAATCAATGTCGGATGGTTTTGTCGTATTTCCAAAGTTATCCATACACATCAGTATCCCCATATGTGAATGATATGTACACTAACGACATCAGCATCGACCAATACAATTGTCTGAAATACATTCATCCAATCATATACTCTTCTCGTGTCGGTTATCCAATCCCCATCCACGGTTCGATGTCGGATGCGACATTCTGTACATGTCGATTTACTGGAATACGATGAGATGCTCTTACTCATAGATGCCCATTCTGGATGACGAACCTAACCCAACCTAATCCTACCCTAACCCTAGAATTTATTGGTTGGAAATTAAACTAAGAGTGATATGATTGGCTAGAACAGAAATAGAATTATGTGATTCGCTAAATTAATCTCATACAAATATCAAGTGGGGGCGGAGGTGACCCATTATTCTACCATAAAAATTCCGACGTGAGAGTGGATTCCGACCGCGCTCCGACGACCGGTAAATATCCGTACGCGTAATATGATTGGTCAATTCAGGTTCATTTATCATTTTGCAAATAGCACTGTTAGTATGCTGCCGCTGACCGCCCACTGCACTTCTGGCTACAAGCGCGCTCCTTTCGGCCTCCGATGATGTCTACGACGGCTGAGTGCCCCCATCGCCGCATTATGTATCGCTGATGTTTGCCATCGCCGTTGCCTGCAGCCTCCATTTCCGCTGCCTGCCGCTGTAGTCATCGCCGATCCGGTCCCAATCGTCGTTCTTGTCTTATTCCGTCGTCACATCGATCATGTCGTACAACGGCCGGAGGCTCCGTCCAGTTCGAAATTGTATATAAATTGGCAAGTATCTCGCTTAAATCGAAGTCTTTAACTGATTGCTTGTATGTTGTGACACTGGAGTCAATGTAATTTGTCGTAGAGTATTGTAGATGTGACTGCAGAGTTGCGTCCGACCGATCAATTGCAAGATACTAGTAGTAGTCAAACAATTTAATCCGGATAAGCTTTGATTCTGGCCAATCCCAGGCATTTTTCGAAAGACAGGCATGCCAAATACTGGAGGCGGAGATGTCACAAGACGCCGGGTGCAGTGCCCTTTCCTCTCGTCACATGGCGTGCGCTTCTGTAGCCGCTTTGCTGTTACTATCGTTGACACAAGAGAGTTGATGACATGGTGGACTCTTGTGGTGGCCACATCGACATGGTTGAAGACTTGGTGGGGCAGATGGGTCTGCGTTGGGGAGGACCAGTCGAGTGCCATATCAACTGATACGCACCAAGGTACGAACATCTTGTAGCGAATAGGGCATGAACTAAAACTACTTTTGAATACTCGATAGCCAACTGCTCCTGAACGCTTGATGTTTGTCTTTGCGCCGACCCCGTGGTCAACCTGACAATCGAGCCACTGGGTCGGTGATGAATATGTTAAGTTTCGTGTTTTGTATGTATAACTACCCCTGTACATCAATGACTAACCATATCCTCACTAACGTTAGTCAACAGCAGCCTCGACCATGCCGCTCGTGTTTGCGCCGACCCCGTGGTCAACCTGACAATCGAACCACTGGGTCGGTGCAGGATATGCTAAGGTTCGTATATATTTGTATCAACCACTGTATATACTTGAATATTTATTCTCTTGACTAGTCTACACCTGCGTCGACCGTGCCGCTGGTGTTTACGCCGACCCCGTGGTCAACCTGACAATCGAACCAATGGGTCGGTGCTAGATATGCTTTGCATCAACCACTGTATATCATTGACTAATTATTCTCTTGACTAGTCAGCAGCAGCGTAGACCATGCCGATCGTGTTTGCGCCGACCTCGTGGTCACTGGTTGTACTCAGCCTCGTTTGAGCTTGCATGTATAAATAGTACTGTATATCCTTGACTCACTACTATCTTGGTAGTGCTAAGGCTCATATTTGTTCCTGTGTTGTGTGGTGGTCCAGCCATGAATTATGACTATTCAAACATGTTAACGGTAGTGTATGTGTAGTGTATATGTGAATGTTTGCGTTGGGCGTTGTAATTTTGTACTATAGCTAGAATGCTACAAACCGAGTGCCCCGCTCGCGTTGTTGGCGTGTTTAACCCTGTGCTGCAACAACTGTGTCCATGTGGGGTTGACGGCGGTGCTGTCCGGCCATGGACTGTAGCTATCCAATCATGTGAAAGATGTCAGCGGTACTCTTGATGTATGTATGTGAGTGTTAGTTAATCTTGCTGTAATATAGGAGCAGCGCTGCCAACCGAGGCCCACCTACTACCGCTGCTGGATTTCGTCACGCGTGAACAGCGTGTCCCATCCCCGTCAGCTACAGTGCCCCGCGTATCACTGGTCAATTGACTCACGGTAATTCCGAGCATGCAATAAATATTAGCAAGTCATTCTTTACGCTCATCGCGAGCACCAGCCACCACCACAACGACCACAGCCACGTCCGAGCCATCCTCGACGACTGCCGCTCCCACCACCGCGTCCAAGCTAACCACCACACTGACCCCTCATCCGACTGCACGCACCAGCCTCCGCTATGTGTAGCGCCATGAAGGGATGTTGATATGCACTTTTATCTTGTAGTGCCATGTTTGAGAACTACACATTCTGGTCGGGGTGTAGGGTCAACGATCAGACCACATTGGTCGGGAGCATGAAATTTGACAATGAGCACATCGGTCTCCCCTTTCTTGAGAGTAGCGCGTACTTGCACTCGACGGACCCTTATGATGTCGACGCACCGCGCTCCACAAGCAACGCAGGTACCTTTGCTGCGAGAATGTGACCATCAGCAAGAACGGTGTCACGGTAGGTCGCTGCTCCCTCGACCATGTCGAGGTTATCGACAAAAAAAAATATGTAGGCAATGCAGCGCCGCATCGTGGACTTCCACTCGTACTAACACTCCCAGAGGCAGGTGTTCTTGCGTTTGCGGCGCTTTGCTGGCTTTTCTTCCTTAGACTCACGGCAGCAGTGATCTGGTAGGTCGAGACTCGCCGAAGACGTTTTCAAGCCAACCTGCCCCTCGGCGTCTCGAAGACGTTCGGACATTGTTTTGTGTGGTCAATGAACTGGTCGATCACAGCTGCCTAGTGCTCGATCATTCGGAGGCACTTTGAGCTCGGACCGCTCTGATGTGTTGTGTTAGTTGTTTGAACTTGTGCCAAGTGGATAGACCAAGACGCCATCTCATAAGGTCAACGCCGGACACTGCCATGGCTTGGTCAACTCACAAATCTGGCTTCATTAATTGGAAGAGGAGTAATGCCTTCATTAGGTAAACACACAGAACATCCACAACCTGAGGAATAACATTGAGCAGAGTGTTGGATAGCCCTGTACAACCACTGAACAAGTGGAATTTGGCCATGTGGCGTGGAAATATGACAAGTCGAGCGGAGTCACTTTCGCGTCCGCATCGTGACCGCCAAGTAACTTCGCAATTTTTTTTATCTCCGTGGGTGTGTTGAAGATGTACGTGAAGAACTTGTTCGTAGAGGACATGTTCCAGTTCCCGCGATCCGCTATACAGTGCGGGAAAATCCCGGCATTTCAATTGACGTGCTGAGCTCCATCACGCCGGAACGAGTGCGACGTCAAGTTGGTCGTAACATTGGCTCCAGGTAAGATACGGCTAAGGACACAGTCGACATAGGCGGTGATGCTGAATTTTTCCTCGTGCCAGTGTGGGCTCAACGCTGTCACCTTGCTCGTCTTCCGCCACGGCTTTGTCAAGCAGACTACGTCCCGAAGTGATGGCCGCCAATACAGTCGACGAGTGGGCCATTGATGGCAAAGTCACACGCTGTAGGTTGCAGAAGATGCGACAGCAATGCCAAACTGAGAACACACTGAAGTACCAAGGAGGCGCTAAAGCAGTGATTGGACACGTTACAGTGCTGTCGTCGGGTTAAAGCGTCAGACCTTGCTCTTCGATGATTTCATTCGTAGAAATCGCACGAAAAATCCGTTCTCCCCACAGCGAAATACTCTGCTCTTCGAGCGTCGCCAAGTCGGATACCCGTCCAAACAAGTACCACAATAGCGACAGGAGCGTGGCATCTTGATAGTCCGACCCGACACTGGCGGTGCTGTAGAGACTTTTTCTTGCATGCTGGCGCTTGTGTTACGATTCGTCCTCGAGACCGCATGCCGCTGTACTTCTGTGCGTCCCTTTGCAAGTAAGGTGCTGTCCACTAATTGGGTGCATTGGGGGAGCGTGAGAAAAACCACTGCTTTGTCTGGCGGAATTACTGGTCGACTGTGTATCGTGCATACGGCTTTCCATCTTTGCCATTTAACCCGGCCAAGAATGCCAAAGCGGTCCATCAGCGCAATCAGTATCACGCATGTTGTGTCACTGCGTATCTCTTTGTCGGCTACCGATAAAACGTTGGTATAATAACTTCAATGAAATGCGTTCTATGGTTTGACCAGATAATTATCATAAATTAATTTCTAGGGTTGGATGTAATTGGAGTAGAATTTGGGTCCCTGCTGCCGCACGTCGGCGCCGCGGCGTAAAATGGGAATCTATTTTGCCCGGCTACGAATCACACTACCAGAAATCATTAATTTTAGCTATTCCATATCTTTTGGCGTCCCTGGCATTCCATCAAAAGTAGTTGGAAACAAATGTAAATCCAAATCACCCCTTGTTCGTGTCACCTGTGTGGTCGTCGGGTTTGTTGCCTCTACTTGTGGCCGAAATACAACATTGTAATCTGCCCTGTCCTGCTTGTGGCAAGGCTGCGTCTGGCATCCCCCCATATTATGATGTACCAACAACTGCACAATGATGTACTGGTGCGTTGTTTCCACCCTTGGCGCGATTCTCACTAACCTGGTTGATTGATTTGCTGACATCCCTCGCCAATTTACCAACGCCATTGACACTAGTCAATTAGTGGCACCCCAGCCCCACTCACCATGGATGGATTACGGGGGTCACTACAGGTAACCGCATTGGAATTGGATCACAGTAGTACTTGCATATTTTTATACTTGGTCAAAAAATATTAAAGAGATTCAGTCAATTGCATTTTAGCCAATAAGTGATCGACAAAATAGCGAAGTGCCATTCGTCAGATTCGACGACACCACCTGACACGCATGATTCAAAATTCAAAAATAGCAAGCAATGAAATGCCGATGAGTATCACATGACATTCACCTTCAAATTTTCTCACGATGCAACTAGAACGTGTGGTCAAACGGTTCTACCGACGCTACAATGTCCGCAGCATTCGGATGTACCTCCGACGCTTTGAGAGTTTGCCATTCAAGTCTATATGTCGTAAAGAATGGCTGTATGAAGAAAGGGTTCACACAGCAGCAGCAAAGCGTTTGAAACTGATTCAGAGGGTCATCAAAGTTTTGGGGTATGGTTAGTAGCTCAATGATTGGAAGTGCGTTTGAAAAAGCCTTGCCAAATGTAGATCAGGTGTAACTAACAGTAAGTAATGTAGGTATTCGTTGGTGTCTGTGTGCTCCCTGGGAGAGTTGTATGCGACGCGGTTTTTAGTAATATCAATTAGATACAATTTGGCCAATCAAGACTGTTAATTGTGTACTGTATTGCATTTTAATAAATCACGTTTTGGCTATTATGTACGACCCCCACGACAACGTCACTATTTAAGTCCCTGGTTGATCTCGTTATCTCTACGAGCATTCATCGCCCTATCTAAAGTGTGAATGGTCGCCCGAAAAGTGTACGACATGTGGAACAATATTTGGAGCGGTAACATTATCACTAACACTCCACAGCTACGAAGATTACGCTCGAGATTGACACCAATAGGGACCGAACCAACCACTCCAAAGTCAAGAAAGTCATTCATCAATCATGATTTTTTCGAACTTATCTGAACAAGGAATTGCCGCCATAAACCTGCCTGACCGGAACAAGCTGTTCGAAGATTCATACGGCTCGTTGTGCGAACAGCTGTTCGACGAACACGATCCAACGCCCCTCAGTCGCCGTAGAGCAACAGAATGGAGCTACCACACCATATACGTTGCCATAAGAAAACAATACATGCATATTTTACTCTGGCCATGACTACATGATATCATCACTTACCTTTGTTCATGAATGGTTGAGAGAGGGTAGTCGAGCACTGAAGACTGTGTAGTATATGCACGTGATGGGTTTGAAGTAGCAATGGATGAAGTGCAAACGCACCTGCGACCGCAGCGACTATCAGGAGACTTGACATGTTGGTGGCGCAGACGTTGAGCGACCTAGCTATTCTAGATTGGCATAATGTGGTCATGTCCAGATGTGAGTTAAATACGTACACTGTACATTGGCGCACGAGGGATGTGGCCATAGTCATGTTGATTCAAATCGTCAGTGAGGCAGGTATTCGAGCGGAGACTCGAGCACTTGGGTGAATTAGGGTTCTGTGGAAATTCTATTAAGTGTTTAGTACTACTGTTTCATACGCCACCCAAAACCCAAAGCCCCTCCTACCATCTTTGCAAAATCGCCATCGATCCATTGTCCTATCAGTTCTTAAACCCAGGTAACTGACCCTGAATCACCCTGTCCAATGTTCTAAAGTCCGGTTAAATATATCACCCAAACCTGACGTTATTGACAAGAATAAGTCACCAACACTCATTTCACACCAACTAATTTCCAAAAACCTGATCCCTAACCTTCATTACCCCCGCTCATAAAAACCACCATGAATTTCCCAAAACACCTGACTCTAAACCTCTTTCACCGCGGAATACGACGTTATATCGCAAACTTCCCCCTTTACCCCAAGGTAAACCCTAAAACGATGCTATGTGCGTAATCCTTTCTCATAATATTCCGCAAAAATGGGCCATGCCATTCATTACCAAAAGGCTTCTACCAAATAAAAGGTAAGAGCATCTGCACTGGTACCAGTAAATTTGACCCCCATTATCCGGATAACTTGTTCGGATAAGCGAGTTACTGGCGCCTTTAAGGGCAAATTTTACTAGCCTCGTTTTGGTTTCGCACCGCAGTCAGTAAAACAGATTGTACTTGCTTCGTGATTGATTCGGCTGCATGGGACTCCGAGAGCGAAAGTAATAGCGATGATGACGTTGTCATCGCCATCGAACTGCGTGGGTTTGTCTTCGCAGCACCGAGGCTCCAGCAAGGGCAAAAGGCCAAACATTCACCGCAAGCGTACTCAGTACGACGTGCTGCTGCGTGCAGACAATTTTGATTCCGTGCCAACGTACGACGATAGCCACTTCCGACAACGCTTTCGAATGCGGAAGAGTCTCTTCCTGCAAATTGCGAACGATCTGGCACACCAGGACCCTTAATAAATTTCAACAGAAAGCCGATGTCACAGTTTTATACTACTCTGGTCCAAAGTAGCTGTCGTGTTGCATATTTTCGAAGGTGCAGTTTTGTTTGACTTGTAATTTTTATACTTAATATATATCAATTAGCCACTTGTATACATGTTTAGTATATTTTATACAAACCTCAATATGATGTAAAGCATATTCAATCTGAAAATATCAAGTGACATCAACCACAACAAGCAAATCGGAAGGTAAAGACCGCTGTTCGCGGAATACAGTACCTTAGCTTGTTCAAATGGCTAGAACTAGGCATCGTTTAGCCTTAGGTGCGATTTCGTCGTCGACAGACGACTAACGAAGGTGCTACGGTCACGTATGGCGCATGGAATCTTTTGAGCATGTTTGATCGATAAATACAACATCATAGGAGCGAGAGAGCCTGGTTAATGCTTCAAGGGTAATGCAACAACCACATGGACAAGTGGGCGAGATGTGGAGGTTTAAAGTTAAGATTTGATTCTCTGGCGGGTGATTGAATATTTTGCGAAATTGAAGGACATTTTTCAAGATATAACGTCGCCAATGGTGTGAACTTTGCGCAGCGTGGAGTAGCCAATCAAAGAGGAGAACTTCAGCTTGCATTTACACCAATCAGATACGAGAACGAATAAGTTTAGGACAAAATACTTCATTTTGAAGTCTAACATGACAACTATTTTGTACTAGAGGTGGTATAATATATAGTCAGCAAATATTCATATAAAATTGGTCACGCCAATGTTTTTCAACATTGCAAAAGGTTGCTGCATGCATCCGATACCTAGCGACAAGTTGCTCGATAGACGACTTGGACGGCAATTGTTTTAGCTATTTTGCAACAAAAATTACACAAATTCAAAAATAATAAGAAATTGAATTCGACTGTTTGATAGATATAGAATTAGTGCGCACTATGCGTCAAGTCTTGCACCGATTTTGCTCGTGGATTCACTGTCAGTCGCATTACAAGGACAGCAGGCTACGCGAGCCAAACGAATCAGACTGCAAAAGGCTATTGTGCGACGCTCAACATGTTGGTTGACCTGGAATGGTGGGGTCTCTTGACTGCTCTCATACGCGTGGAAAAATTGTCCGAAGGCATGGGCCGGGCAATTTCAAGGTACCAATGGCCGACCGACAGTAATATTAGAGGCTGCGTCCGACATGCGACGACGCCTTTGGCATGCGTACTTTGGTATGCCTGGAGCAAACAACGACATCAACGTCTTGGACAGGTTAAACATATTTCACAGTTCGATTGGAGCTATAATCATATATTTTTATCATTAAAGATACAATATTTAATATAGGCAATAATAGGATGGCGTCCTTCAGTGCGATACAACGTAAATGGAAACGCCTACGACGCACCCTATTAGCTCGTGGATGGAATTTACCCTCCGTACTCAGTCGTCGTGAAAACTATACCCGATGCTAAGTCGCTCCAGGAGAAGGCATTCCAGTAAGCCCAGGAGTCCCACCGGTAGGACGTTGAACAAATGTTTGGTATGCCTCGTTGGTACACGCTAACACGACCATGTGAGTTGTGGGATCGTTCTGCTATGCATCACGTCGTGATTACATGCTGTGTATTAAACAACATGGTCATTGATGACGAAATGGACAACGACAGTATTGATCTTGACTTTTTAAACGGCCTCCAACCCGACGATCCATTTGTGGCGCAAGACCGAACATGCGACATTACAGAGTTCATCATTTGCCAAGAACGGAGGGTGTAGCTCATATGAAGCTCCTCCGCGATTATTTAGTTGAACACCGCTGGAATTTGTTCGGTGATATTTCGTACGAATAAAAAAAAGAGAAATAATTTTTGATGTTGAATTACTAGTATACGTGTAGTATGTACTTAGTCATACTTAGTAAGTGACTACGCAGTACTATTACTTGACTTATTTATGGAATTCGTAGGGAGATTGCGTACGATTTCATATTTAACCAATGGAAACATTCCTGTACAATATTGGAAAATTCAATAACAAATCCATGTTCATCAGTAAACACTATTGACGATCGTCCTTGGCAATGCAGGCGGCATGATACGCGTACAATTATGCGACGATGGAATGCCATACAGTAATCATGTACTACTTCCTCTGTTCCATAATTCTGTGGCCTTAGCAAAAACTCACCTTTTCCAAATATCTGAGTCCATTTCAATGTAATTGGTCAATACAAGAATATATTGATTTCATTGGATATAAATCACCAAGACTATTCAGTGGAGACGAGACACAGGACAAGTAGCGTTCTCTATGAGTGTACCAGCGCGTCTCATGGCATCCTTTTTGATGTGAGGCAAGCAGAAGTGGTTGTCCTCATTGTGCTCAAGCAGAAGTGGCATAACAGCTTGAAAGCTAAGAAACACATCCTGTAGCTTCTCAAATCTTAACATTTCAAAGGCAGCCAAGGTTGCCTTGATCACATCGTCCACAGACAGACTCACCATCTTGTACTGTAGCGATTGTATAGAAGGTCGTATGTCTAGGACGTTGAGGTCAGGGCTGTTTGGCCGTTGGCGGCGCGTCACGTCCACCCGTTTGTGGCTGCAGCCACGAGAACAGCATTTGTGATAGCACCTGTTGAAGGATGACCTTCTTGATGTCGCTTTGAAACTTCGCCTTGATGGCAGGTACGACCTTGTTGAGGACGTAGTTTGTACACACTTTTCCGTCGACATTCACTAACGTCGTCACCATTGTATCAGCAGAGCGGTTTCGCGAGTTCCTTTCAGCAGGTCTGTGCCGCACGAAATGCCACATTCCAATCTTGCCGTCAAAGAACGCTTCGCGGCTAGCGTTGTGTCGAGGTAGCACGACAGGATCAATGAACTGAATAACCTTTTGCTCTTGCATGCGCGGTGGTCCAGGGACTCACCATCTGTGAGGTACACCTTCCGCTATTCTTGTCCGCATAGAACCATTTTTGGTCCAGATGTAGGACGTCCCACATTTCAGAAAACGTCCGCAAGGCTGTCGACATCGCTGCTGCGACGTTAGCAGAGCAGAGCTAGCACGTTCCCCGCTCCACATCGGACGTGTAAGCGACTAAATGCAACGCGCTCTTCCTTGTTCGCGTCTGTAAGAAGCGGTTTCAGGCGCGACGAGCGGCGCTGAAGCGTTCTGTCTTTCAGTTTACGACTAAGTGTGCCCAGTAAATGTCCAGTTGCGACTGATATGTCGTGCAGGGTAGACCTTTCATTCTGAGGTATTTGGCTGACCAAGTGGGTGATGTACTCTTTCGTGTAAAGCGCCTTGCGGCTGACGCGGCCAGGTCCCTTCGACCGCGACGAGCCGTCCCAAATGAAGTCCTTCCAGGCGCGGGCAAGAGTCTTGCGGTGCGGGTTAAAGTGTGTTGCTGTCGAAGTGTACGCGCCTCGGGCATTTGCCGAGATTCATACAGCTTTAAGTCGCTGTATGACCTCCAACTTGGTGGCATGGAGAGTTCTCGGCTGGCGTGTTGAATGTCCATGGGGCAAATTCAAATGTGACGTTACGTCCCCAATTTTTAATATAAGAACATTAATTTTTATTATTGATTTTTGTGGTCTTGAAACGAAGTCACTTTTGTGCGACAAAATTGTGTATTGGCGCATTCCAGTCAATTGAAAGTACCTGCATTTTCTAATTCTCTTTCAAAGGTGATTTGACGTATCAAATTTGGGGAAGAAATGAAGTTTTGGGGTCGACGAGAAGTCTTAACTGTAAGTAAGGCCACTGATTTATGGAACAGAGGAAGTAGGTTAGTATTTCAGATATCAAGGTTGACTGTAAGCATCCATGCCGTCACCACGACCTTGCCCGCTTGCAAGGCATCAGCTATCGCCGGACGACTTCAACGTGCCTCTGCATGGAGTAATGCAGCGCCATACTAGTCGAATATACGTCAAGGTCCTCAAAGGTGAACATTCAATCACGTGATATTAACGTTACTCCTGAAGTAGAATGTATGCATTTGCGTACACTCGAATTGTTAGCCAACAGGGGAACATGTAGAGAAATGTAGATAGGCCACTGAAACAACATGACCCGTACATACTTCACTACTAGCTTCATAACATAGATATCTTGTGTGTTTCTTGCCCACACAAGAATTTCCAAAAAGTATTGATTTGAAAACGCGTCCAGCTCGACACAACAGATGACTTTGACACTGCCAAAATGGTCACTCCTTCCTACAAAGTACTACTTACTACGTTCAACGTAGTACTGCTACATACATAATACAATTGATGCCATTACCAGTTCTTCGACACAATAATGCGGCACCATGGCCTACCGGCGGTCATTATCAGTGATCGTGACTCCAAGTTCACCAGCCAGTTTTGGCAGGAGCTCATGAAAATCATGGGAGTCAAGCACTTCATGACGACTGCAGGAAGAGCGCAGAGTGATGGAGCCACAGAGCGCCAAAATCGGACACTCGAAGATGCCTTGCGCTGCCAAGTCAGTTACCTCGGACATGACTGGTCAGAGCACCTCGGCACCATTGAGTATGCGCACCAAGGATTGATTCAAGCGTCGACAGGACTCATTCCATTCGAAGTGGACACGGGCAGAAAGTTGCGTAACCCCATTCTTAATCAAGTTGAAACTTTGAATGAGTACGTGAAGAACTTTTCCAAACAACGTAAAGCATTAGTCAAGATGGCACTTGAGAACCTTGACAAAGCACAGGCTCGTCAAAAGAGCTACTACGACAAAAAGCGCTCGAAATTGGAGTTTCGCGAAGGCGAGTTTGTAATGCTAGCGACACGCAACGTCCCCATCAAGCATGCGAAGTTGGTGAACAAGGATGAGAAACCAAAGTTAGTACCGAAGTTCATTGGTCCCTTTAAGATCATACAAGTCATCAACCCGAATGTTATGAAGTTGGAGTTGCCTAAGAGCATGAAGCGTCTTCACAACGTCTTCAATGTCGATCGACTGAAGAAGTGCCCTGGCCAAACGGATCGGTTTACCAACCGACCCATACCCAAAGCGACTCCAATGCTTTTGGACGACAGTGGCCACGAAGTCTTCATCGTCGAAGAGCTGCTGAAGCAACGGCAGTTCAACCGCAAGAAAGAGTACCTCGTCAAGTGGCATGGCTTGCCCGATTACGAAGCGACCTGGGAACTTGAGCGGGACATCAAACATGTTTCCCATTTCAAGCGACTGGTTCAAGAACTGCGAGCGAAGATACAAGCGGCGAAGTCGATAACCGGGGGAGAATGTAGCGACGTCACTCCAGTGGCGTCATAGGGTTATCGACCAATCAGAACAGACGTCAATCAGAACAGACGTCACTGTTGACGTTAGTTTACGACCAAGCTCGATTGGCGTGCGGCGTGCTCGGCCATGGACACCAGAAGTTCCTTCTGCAGAGCGCACGTATGTATAGCATTATATATAGTATAGTCAGAGTAGTCATGCATGTAGATGTAGATAACGCCAATCAATCAGCTTTACAATTTCCTCTGCGTTATGAACTCCCTACAAAAATCGTAGGACCAGCTCTACGATTTCGTCAATTCACAAATGAAAAGCGAAATTTTATGTTTGCTACAAATTCGTATACATATTGGAAAAAATTGAC